CCAGTGGAGCTACGTCGCTAGCATACCAGACACATAGCAGCAAAGATGACACGAGAAGAGCGTGGTCGTGCGAGAAGAAGAATTCGATTGTGTTACATAATGGAAGGGGATATCTGGAAACATTGCGTAGAGTCATAAGCCGTCATGTAGAAAGAACAAATAGCCGCTGTACTAACGCCGAGTCATCGCGGGAAACATGTTGCCTGTATACCTCCGATACCAGCCGGACAAAGATAGTCAATTACCGTTGTGGATATTGCTGCCCATACACCGGGTATGGTGGGTTGCTTCCATACTGCTGCTGTGTCCGAGCGTAATCCTGTGGATTGTATGTGTACGCTTGCTGACCTTTGTGGTCGCTCTCTCGCCTCTGCCTGACATTATGCTCTTCCTTGGTCTCCTCCATTGTCGGCAGCTCGGCCGCGAACGCCTTTTGCTCCAACCCTGGGGAGCGCATACCCTCTGAAGGCGCATAGGAGCTCGGCCGTGAACTAACGGTGCTGTGCGATGCAGTTGACCAGCGCACATCTTGCGGCTGGGGTGAGTATTGTGACGGCTCGGAAGCGGTAGATGTGCGGTTATGATTCGGGTGCAGGTAGGAGGGAGATGGTTGAGGGTGGTAGAAATCGCCTGGTAGTTCCATGACGACGTCGTTCGTTCCTAGGAGCTGCTTCGGTGGCACTGGTGGAGCGTTCTGATCAGGTTGCGCATACTGCAGGCTCTGCCTGTGCGGTGACATGGGAATCTGGTAGGGCTGCGTTGGCGATGGTTGTGGCGACCTGTAATCGTGCGCTGAGCGATCCGCCGGGTTGACCGTCTTCAGCCGCCCGTTCTCCATCATGGCATGCAACGCTCCCGAGTCGAGTAGTTCAGCCTTCTTGACTAACCGCTCTACCATGACCTTTGCAGCTGCCTTCATCTCCTTCTTGACAAAGCTGAGCATGGTCACATTGCACTTGATCTCCACATCCTCGCGTATGTAAAGTCCCTCAGGGGGCGCACCTGAACCCAGCTCTTTCGGCTCAGGTGGTTCGCCAGGCTGGTTTCCGCAAATCTGCCACTTGTTGCGCAGGTCGACATTTGCGGGCGCGTAAGTGTGTGTCTGCAGGCCGAAGGGTAGGTCATGGAAGACGCCTCGAAACTTGATTGCGCCGCTTCCCATCTTGCCAATACCGGGTATGTATTGTATGCGCTGCGAGATCTCATACCATGTTGAGTAGAATTCGTCTGCAGGAGCGTCGCGCGGTGCTTTGATGGGTTCGTGGCCGGTGACGAGTGGATTCAGCTCGATGATTTCGCCATGGCTGTGGAGGAAGTCGATTGCGAGCTGACGCGGGATGTAGGATGGTATGGGCGTGATGTTCACGTACTGCGCTTTCTTGCGCATCATGTTCATGGTGGGCGATCAACGTCGAGTAGGGCCGATATGTAGGTGTGAGGATTCTCGCTCAATTGCTTGCGGATGCGACTCGAGAAAAGAGGCTGTGCCGCGCCGGCAGGAATGGGTAAGTAATAAGGATGTTGCTGACGGTACCCCTGCTTGTGCAAGTAGGCTTGATGCGCTGGGCCGGGTGGTCATCACACAGCCCAAGATCGCCGTGACGAAACGCGTCATGCACGTGCGCGTGATGTCAGAAACACACAGGATGCGCATTCGATCTTATTTCGCTCTTGCGGGTCGCTGCGATTCATGACCTTGCGAGCGTCGCCTGCTCATAGCAGTTTGCCTTTTCATTACTATCATCGCCGCGGCCCTGTAGGGCGACTGGTGCCCGCAGTGGAGACGCCTAATTATAGGCTTGGTATGCGGCATCTGTCAGCGCTTTGCATGTGGGGGCCGGAAAGTCTGAACTTCAACAATCCAACGCCACAAGCCGCACAGGTCTACGCATGTTGAGAATTGCGCTCAACAGATACTGCCAGTCCAATTGCTGATGTCGTGTAATCCTGTCGTTGCTTTTGCTCAACCCCGGAATTGTCGTCATCCGGAGAGATAGCGTTTACTACGCCAAGTTGTGTAGCTGGGCAGACGCGACGACTGGCATCCGAGGGGCTGAGTCCAAGATGACCGATGTTCCATTGTTTCCTAGCTCGATTCTGCATTCGCGTGGCGACAGACCTATCAGAGCTGAGGTCGCTTAGGTGGAGTTGAGATTTTCGATCTGGCGGCATGAACTGTTTCGAGAATAACCAGGCCTGAGGCATCAGTTCTCTTGGAGCCCCTGAACACCGGCCAGCATGCAGTCGTAGCCAAGATATTAAGAGCCACCGGCCATTTTCTTATAAGGAGCGCGGTTGCTTCGCATTGATGGAGAGTCGAAAGTTTACTTTCTTTTGACGATCGTGGTAGCTGTCTCGGTGGTATTTGTCGCAGGCAAAGGAGGGCCAGACATACGGTCAAGGCTAGGGTAATGGAAGCATGATGAATCGGTGCGAAAGCGCAACTATGTCTGACAGTGTGGGGACATGTGAGAAATTGTGGTCGTCCCTCTCCGGCCCTTTACAAGAAAAAGATGAGGAGTGAGTGCCTTTGTACTTGTGGCCTATGACGCTTGTTTGGCGTCGAAGGCAGGAGCTACTGCATCTCAACCGTGGTTCGCGCAAGGCGATTTGCGCACGAAAACGAGCGCGGTCAACCCATCTATCTACATACAGTGTGCTTTGTCAAGACTATAACGGTGGCGAGACGCTACATGTCTATAGCTCATTGTATATAGGTCATTATAGTCTCATGTATCGGGATGGGGTGAATCACGATATAGCTTCTCTTCGCGATGGTATACGGCTTGCGCACGAACACGTTTAAACCCCAGTGAAGTATACTAGCACTATTAACAAGATGATCAGGATAATGGACAACGAAGACACTGATTTGATCGACGTGCTGGTGATAGAACGCAGGCACAACGCTGTTGAGTTATACTGTATTGTATCACAGAGAAGCGTGTCCCCAAAACCCTAGCTTCACTATGTGCAGCTGTGTATGGACAATCAAGACATGTTTTAAAAGCGAATAATAGGATGTTCCGACAGCATGTAAGCTCTCGAGCGGTTAGCTAGATCTTGAAACGCCAGCATAACATTGCCCCCAAGACTTCTGTGTTAAACCAAAGGGTAATGCACTATCGGCTTGTCGCTATAAACACTATAAACTCGCTCTCTATACGTTACTAAACGCATACGTCGTCTTCAAGGCCAACGATCGCTAGTGCAATATCAGGCAGGAAGTTTTCTTAGATTAGACGCATGCAGGATGTACAAGTCTCAATTCAAGACTTTTATGTCGTCAGACACTGCCTCAAGCTCTAGAAGAATGCCACTAGGTCAAGCAAGAAACCCGAGCAATGTTTGATCTGACAGCACCTAGTCACACAGGAAGAGTTGGGTTTTGATTATATCGCTATCGTGGAGGCCGTCACTAACGCCCCCTCCCACTGCTACTAGAAAGCCAAGATCAACGTTAATTGTGTGGATTTCCTGCTCAAACCTGCAACGACTCCAGATGCAGTCCGGAATTAGATCGAAGGCCACCTACCACTTCCAGTCTTCAGATTACTAGGCCAGGAGCTCGTCAAGATGCTTACCCAGGATCGCATACACATTATCAGTCAAAACATCGATAGCAACGATAAAACAGGGCAGCACTTTAAAGTAAGGATAGCTAATACCTGCGAAGGGTTAGCGGCGTGCACGTGCGTAAAGGGAAGAGTGCCGACACAGTGAAGGCGCGTAACACCCTCTTAGGAGTATGTGCAAAACGAGAAAGACCAAAAGGAAAAGAAGTGGACATCGTGAGTCGAACTCAGTCCAAAAAGAGAGGGGCCCATATGGGCGGCTGCGGGGGCCCATTGCTGGGGTAGGCTGCGGGGGCCCATTGCTGGGGTAGGCTGCTGGGGGGCCATTGCTGGCGACTGCGGGGGACCGAACTACGCTGCAGTCGTAGTTCGGTGACCGAATCCTCAAATAATCTCAATATATACAATATGTTAAAGTTTTAGTATGTGTGCGGGACTTAGTGAACGGGTCAGGCTACGTCGCTACTATCGTCTGCTGCCGTTTGCACACTGAAGAACAAACAGGTGAATAGAAACATAGTACTTTTACGCAAGCGACCACTAACTAATAATCCGTCCTTATCGCGTGTCTCCTATGAGACGTTGCGCAGCACTACAGTCCGAATGGATGACATAAGAATGTTACCTAGGTATCTGATAGCACTGTGACAAACTACTAACAAAGCGTCACTGACGATATATGCAACCTAAACGATTTTTAGATAACAAACAACTTCTTAATAAGAGACACTAGAATCGTAGCGATAGGACAGTAGAGTAGGTCAATTTCATAATACTGAGTATGACCTGGTCACTACCGAGGTATGAACAACCTGCACTGCAAACTATAGCTCGAGTTCGCACCTTAGGGAAGACATCGTATAGACGATATGCTTCTGTAGTAAGGTTAGTGATTACTGTTTCCCCTGAACTTATAAGTTCGCACTTTAACCTTGCATAAAAATTTGCAACCTATAATGCGGTTGCGCGTCGAGAATACCCAGTCAGTATTGACGAGAAGCACCATCTCACATATCTTTATCGGGCCTTCCGCATCCAATAGCGTATCGCATATATATCCAGATCTTCTATAGAGTTAATCCATCACACTTCTAAGTTCCACTATCACATTTCTACTATAACGCTTCTAACCCAACGAGTATTTCTGTACAAACATCGTCACGCACGGGATAGTTCGTTCGTCCGTTTCCTCTCTGACTATCATCGCACATTAGCATAGTCTTGTTTTCGAAAGATTTCGGGCTGGAATAATTGCCATTCACCTTCACCTTCACTTTCACTTCAACTTCTCAAAGCGGGCAAAGGTACACCTTGGTGTCTTGGCGCACCCACAAACGCGTCAGTATAAACACTCATTTCTACTGGTATTTGAAGCGGTACACATACCTCGCAGTCCCTGACAGTCCAGCTGTACACATCCACACCATGGTCTATAAAGGATCCGACAGTTTCTCGCATGTCCCAAGCGATCCGCTGAGGACTTACGAGACTTACGGCGGTGAGTTAAGAAGATGTAAGTTCGATGACAACCACCTTCTTCATGACCCCGCGTCGTATATAATACAACGACTGACCGAGACAGCTTCGACAACTTCCATCGGCAACTCCTACGGACTTCTTCCTTCGCCTGGAATGGCATCCACGTTGTCCTCTGATAATCGGACACCAGACGCTCCAGCTACTACGAAACGTAGGCTGGAAGAGCCTGGTGCAGACATCGACGCCGGCGGACAAGACGAGGAGCAGCTACCGTTTAGTGAACCCGACCACAAGACTCCTAGAAACTGGGAGAGCTCATATCGCGAGGCCAAGTTAGCCTACCTTAAGGTGAAGGGAGACAATCTGGCGCTGAAGGGTTCCCTTATCGCGAAGGATACACAGCTAGTCGAGAAGGATCAGAAGATCGTCCAGCTCAGGCAAGATGCGACTCGCGTCAGAGAGATCACAAATCAACGGGACAAGACTATCAACGAGTTCGAGCGCGAAAATCAGTACCTGAAGATCAAGCTTGCAAACGAGCAAGCCGTACACACCTACTTGCACCACTTCATCGCCAGCATGCCTCCCGAGCGCCGCCCGCATGTACCTTCGCACATTCCTTCCCTCGATGAGACCGTCCGCAACAGCAAGGACTACTTACATCCGGACGCGCCACGCGAGGGCCTCAAAAACTTTCGTGGATTCCAACCGACTCTTCACTACGCCGCCGGCAACGGCAAGGTCAGACCCAGCAGGTATGGCTCCAACGCTCACTGGGACTTGGGCCTCTGCCTCGTACACTTCATGACCCTCAACGCATGTGAGCATGGGGCTGTATGCGAGTTCCGCCATCATCCTTTGACTGGTCCTGAGCGTCAGTACATGCGCTTCTTGACACAGGGTGATAAGTTTCTACGCCATAGCGACGAGTTCATCATGCGCAAGAATGCGGGAGGAGCAGCATAGATAGGGGGTGGAGGTGAGGTTGGCATTGGTCGAAGGATTGGATGGCTTCTACGATTGGTATCAGGCAGGAAACGTACCTAGGGTACTGTTAGATCAGACAGCGTTAGCTGTATAAAGATCAAATGAGAAATGATTCATGTATGTCCTCTTTGTCGTGAGCATGCTATTCTAAGGCACAACAACATCTAGTACCCTCATGCCACCTTCCCCGTCTTTGACTTTCTTCACCTCCACCCATCCATTACCCTCGACTCTCACAATCTTTCCATCGATGCATATACGTCTCCATCTGCCTTCCTCCTCTTTGCCCTCAAACACAATCCTCAGTCCATCAATGCTCTCATATCTCACATCCTCTTCCTGCACATGCAAGCCGCCCTGGTATGCTTTACCCATGACAGCCATGACCTCACCCCCACTCCTCGGTCCAAAATGCACAAGGTGCATAGTGCCGTCCAGTGGCTTACTAGCAGGCGATATACAAAATGGCTGTTCGAGATGTGAGACCATGGAGGCAAGAACGTACATGTGTTCTTCCTCCGGTAAAGTAACCCACTCAGCCCCATTTTGAAGAATGGAGATCCTGCCTTTGTAAGGGTGTGGTGGTGAGCCGTCAGCAGGGTACAGAGCCTCCTTCGCAGCCATCTTGAAGCGCTCAACACCGTGTTTGCGGTACTCGGCTGTGTCGCTATCTCCAACTAGAGACGCGTGCATACCCCAGCTAGCTACTACAGCGCCGTGAAGGACACCATTACCCTGTTTGTCCTTTGGTAATTCTTCTTCTTTTCGGGCTTCATCAGTGAGAAGACGTGCGCCGGGGGAGAATGTAGCTGTGAAAGTGGGCAGAGGCTTTGTTTCCCGTGATCCGAGTGCGGGTAAGCCCCATGTGTTCTTCCCTCCAGCGTTGATCGAGTGGTACATTGCATTTGCCGTCCCCAAGGGCAGAAGTACAACTTCGGGTGGGATATATGTTTGCGGATTTGGCGTCTTTGATAAGAGGCCGTTTACAAGATCTACAATACCGCCGTCTCCTGAGAGAAGGATGATACGTAGTCGTCTACTCTGATTGGCAGCTGGGAAGAATACTTGGTCTGTGAGTCCCAAGATGCTGGTTGCTGATTGGGTGGTATGTATGCTTATTTCTTTTACCACTTCCTCGTCGTAGATGCCTACGAGAACTGGACGTACGACATTGGAGAAGAAGTCTTCCGCGCTCCTGTCACCGGAGCCAACGGATAGGATGATGTGTGTTTCGCGCTGTTGGGTTGAGTCCTTCGGAGGTTGTGGGACGAGAGGTTGCTTGGACACATCGATCAAAGAGGGCGTTTTTGTGGCATCTCTGTGTTCTTGTAACGTGACAACGACTTTGGAATGGTTATCGATACACTTCGCTTCGAAGACGATCTTGTTGTGGGGCTCTCCAATGGCCGATGAACTCATGTTGAAGCCCTAGTGCGATGAATGACTCAGGTCGTCCTGATTATACAATGCGTTCGGAGAGATGTTGAGGGATACCCAGTTCGAAAGTAGACTGCAGGAAAGACAGATAATGGATCAGATCCAGGATATGGAAGACTGATAGTGCAATCCTACTGCATGCAACACGATCCATTTTCACAGGGCGTAGATAGATCTTCGCTGCCCAATCGCGCAATCGACAGATCCCACCTTCCCCATTTTTCGTTTACAGATGCGCTAGCCCGTGTGCGTCATGTTCAGTAACGTTACTATCTTGAGACCAAAAGCACGCATCAATCTGAAACATTTCTGGCCGAACGGATTTTTGCGAAAGGGGGCAGGCTACGTAGCGTGATATTATTGATGCCACGGATATTGCGAGGGATCGCTTTCCTCGACTGACAATTGTCACATTTGGGCAGCGGCGTCAGCACGTGTTACGTCATCACTTGGCAATACGAAGCAGTCTGGGCTTGAGCAACTCAGCCGCGCTTGTCAGCTACACCAACAAATTGACATTGCGGCGCGGACAGTCGACGTCGCATACTACAAACGTCGGGGTATCACCAAATCCCTCACCTCTTACACCCGCACCTTGGAGTCACGAGTGTCCAGGACAGCGACGGCGAATCCGTCGAACTCCGCGCAATCGCGACGACGCCCAAATCGCACATGCGACCCTAATACCCGCCCCCAACACTCCATACAACAACCGCCAACATGAACGGCTGGCTAGTCTTCATCATAATCCTGCTACTGCTTCTCTCAATCTCCTACTTCGGGTGGTACTTTTACGCTCGGTGGAATGCATCCCGCAATGGCCTACCACCGCCCTCGATGAACCCCATGGTCGCCTTCAGCCGCTCCTCGTCCTCTGGTGCCGCAACTTCAAACTACCCCGGCCCTGCGCCCACGGGCATCAAAGGCTGGTTCGACACCCAGCTGCGCAAGTTCAAGAACAGGAACAACCGGTACACAACGGGTAGCGGCTATGAAGACGCAGGCTACAGCGGCGGACGAGGTGTTGGCGGAGGCCGTGGTGCAGGCAGTCGTCTTGATCCCGATGAAGCCTGGAGTTCGCGCGTGGGCGATGAAGCATACTATGAAGAGCAGGAACTCGGTCTCCACGAACCCGTATCTACCCATGGACAAACTGCGAACCCGTATGCAAGCCCTTCCCCATACAACAACACCACCGAGCCCAGTCGCGGACGCAGCCGCACGCGAGACTCCTACGACGAACACCTTGACGCACAGAGCACGCGTAATCCTTTCGGCGATGACAACGCGGCGAGTCTAAGAGGCGTGAGTCCCAGGCCAGTGCTAGATGCTGATACGAGTTATCGGGGTGGTGCCACGGCAACCATGCCAAGCGCCCCCAAGCACAAGAAGGCGGGCAGTGTGGACAGCATCGACAACAGCCCAACGGAGAGCCGGAGAAGTGTGTTTAGAGAGGGTTTATAGGTTGAGGACTTGGATGTAGGGAGGAGGGAGATGAATAGCTTTTTCTGGTACTATACTTGTATTAGGGTAGGCAGGTTTTTTTTGAATGAGGTGTTTGACCTCACGATTGAGATTCCAATGATATTTTGGTTTACTTCATGCTCAGCAGAAGGTCACCCATGCTGAATTTGATATCACGATGCTAACAAGTGCTGGTCAAGTCTGATAACTATGTCGCTCTTGGTCTTGTCGTCAAAACCTTCGAAAAAAAAGGCAACCAGGAAGCCGCTTCAATATCAGTCGGTAGGCCAGCCAGACTCAACACGGGCGCTCCATCTTCCGTATTCCTGTGTGACTTCACTACATTGTTGGACCGACTCACTTGGACGGGAATTCGTCTCATCTAAACGTTACTAAGGCTATCAATCACACATTTTTCTAAGGCTGGCGTATCTAATGAAGGGAAGTGGGTTGGCTATTAACCCAACGATGATACTTTGATGCACTACTTCAGCACAACTGAACACTCCTCATAGTTAAGATTGATGTCATAGTAGAAACCACTTCCACTGTAACACTAACTACGTGAACATCATGCGCGGTCTGTGCGCGAATATACGGTCACGTAGACTTGTCTCATGCACATAAACTTTTCACTCCATCAACGTGAAACCGACACCTAGCCTTTGAAGTTGCTCTTGGAACGAACAAGCTAACCAAGCCTCTACACTGGCAAGAATAGGCATGTCGCTGCAACCTGACATGCGAGAAAGACTACAACGAGGCCCATATGGTCCAAACAACCCTCCACCGCCTCCCGCCGTACCCCCACCAGAAGCTTACGAGCAACAGCGGGGGGAAGGTCGAGGTCGTCCCAACCGCAAAGTACGGCAGCGAAGTTACGCAAGAGCTGAGGCAGAGCTTCGTAAAATAGAGCAAGAGCGCAGGCGCAGCCGTTCGCCTGCCCACCCTCGAGACTGTTCTGGTGAGTCGCCACGATACCGAGAGCGAACTCCTATGCGTCGCGAGTCAGTGAGCATTCCCTCTCATAAAGACAACCGGAGAGATGATGGCATACGGTGCTTTTGTTGCAATGAGCCAGGTGTGTTGCTAATATAGCCTGCTAATATACAATCGCTAAGCGTTGAGAAGGTCACAGAGCCGCTGATTGTAGCATCACTCCACATTTTGGCAAGAAGGCTTGCTTCCGGTGTGGAGAGACAGGACACATCGCCCGTGCCTGTAAGGTACGCGTTAGCCAGGTCAAACCTGAGGTCGAAAATGCTGGCGATAAGTCGAATAGAGGGTTCAACGGAGATTGCAACAATGACCAGGGCGACAACATGGGACAGGCTTCATCGCCCAAGGTTACTGCCGATAGTCGTTTGTCCGCCAACATCTGGCGTGACCAAGAACAGTTGAGTGTCTCCCCACCGCGTGCTGGTTACTACGTTGAAGACGAGGTAGACTGGGGCGAAGATGACGATGATGACCCGACCAAGTCTGGAAAGCCAGGCCAGTATCATATCCACCCACAGCGCCAGGCCATGGTTCAGGAGCCCTTCTTAGGTCTTCCACATTTCAAGAACGCAGAGGTCGATGAAATACCAGCGACAGTACAAGATCTGCGTGGCTACGATCACCGCATCAAGGTCATGTATGAACGCAAACCCAAGAACCAGCGTTTCATCAATGGTGGCAATGGTAAGGTCGCACCAGCACTGTATGGATCCGAGCAGCGACACGACCTAGGACTCTGCTTCGCTACCTTCCTCACGCGTAAGCGTTGCGAGATGGGTGTCAATTGTCCTTGGCGTCATCATCCACTATCCAATGCGGAGAAGGCCTGGATCATTGAGTATGGCAAAAAGAAGGGCAAAGAGTTTATCGACAACAATGACAGGTGGTGGTCTTACCCTGAGGTAAGTCATAGCATGTTGCGTATGGTTTGGACTTTGCTAATCATGATCAGGTACCGGTGCCAGGAGCTAACATGCAAGGCTGTGGTGACAAGGACACCTGAGTGCAGGTGATGATCACTGGAATCCATTGGATGCTAGGATCGTGGCTCGAAAGCAGGATTGGATGAGGTTGAGTATAAGTCAATCGTACAAGTTTGGGTGCTTTGGCATCGCTGGGACTGGCGCTACAGCAAGGCGCCACCACGTGTATGATACCAGCCTCGCACATCGTCAATGCCCTGCAGCCCAACGAGCATCATATTAGCAAACACATCCAAGTCATCCGGCTGCGCAACCCTCAAGACTTCTGTGAAGTCTAGCTCTTTGACAAGAAAGTGATTTTTGTCGTTCCAAGCCATGGCAAAATCGAAGGGGTTGGTCGCTCTCCACAAGTGTGCCGAAAGTGTGACGAAATTCCTAAGAGAGTGATCGCGGGAGCAAGTCTTCAATTGACCGCTGAACAGAGTCCACATAATTGCTATATGGTAGGCACACAGGACAGTCCGTCGGGCCGATTCGCGGAAAACATACGATTTCCAGGCTGTTCGAGCAACTGTGCTGGGATATAGTGGAATGGTCTCCGGTATTTCATCCTGCTCAGCTGCAATAGGTAGTAGAGCGGCGCCCATGTCCTCGAGGTAAGGCAGTAAGGTATCAGCTAGTGCCCAGAGCCGTATCCCACCACTAGAGAGAAGCATGGCCTGATATAACATAAGCGCTTGTGTATGAGCAAGAATCTCAAATGGCGTAATTGGCATGGCACTGGTAACAAGCTCTTGGGCGCGGCTAGTAATGTACCGTGCAACATGCTCAGAGTTGACGGCATTCATAGTGATGTAGAGGGCACATGCAGCATGCGCATCTTGTAGTGATCTTGGCATGTACTCTTCGTAAAGCATCGGGTGCGACCATGGTGTACAGGCTTGCTCTACCATCATCTTCGGCGCGAGTTTGATGTGTTCGAATGAGTACTCCACTCTCGACTTTGCGTAGGGTGAAAGATGCGCTGATGTGAAGGGCTTTCTGACTGGCCCAGAGACGTCTTGCAAGGCTGTGTGGTTCAACTGGTGGGACTGGGAGGCCAGCATTTCCGAAAGCGCGTCTAACGAGTTTGCGCCAGCGCAGAAGTCAAAATCCAGGATATCCGCCGTGGGGTTTGTTGACATAGCAGGCAGGTCGAAGTCGAATTCAACATCATCGTTGACTAGATCTGTAATATCTGCCGGTGTTTGTGGATATCCCATATCAGTAGACACTTCGGCTGAGTTAGTTTGCGAAATTGCGGCCTGCGCACCAGGTCTTGATGGATAGATGCAGGATAAGTGCTGTCTAGTACATCGTGCACAATGAGGCTGTTCTAAACCGCACTTGCGTTTCGATTTAGCGCACTCTGAGCAAGACTTTTGCCGGCCTTGGGAGTTTGTGGTTCGCGTTCGATCTGCTGGCATTTTCGACTTATCGGATGTGGAATGAGGTGAGGCTTGCCGCGCCGCCGCAGTTGCTGCCCGTCTTCCTCGTTAGTCAGCACTGGTGGGACGCCTCATTCAAGCTAGATCGTCTCCTGAATCTCTTACGACTACACTTCATAACGGCCGAACTCTGTCAATTGATTGATCTCCATGATTGTATTAATCTAGCATACCTAATGTATCAGTACGATGCATGGCGTGTCTGCTCTGTTCGATGATGGGTTCCAACTGCGCTCCGTCCGCGCAAGCGGTTGTGCGGACTTCCGATTCTCAGACCACCGAATTCGACGCAACTTCCAAACTATTTCTCCAGCAATGCGAGGATTCAGGGCTGTAGCACTCCCAAACGCGCAATCTTCTTCGTCTAGTCAAGCATGCCTTGTCGACCTATTCGCTCTTCAACTTGCGAACTGCTGAATCCCCTCTCCCATGTCCTCGGTACCAACTCTTGATCCGGTACACCACATAAGCTGCTGCACACATCGTCCAGAACACGGCGTCAGAAGCAGCTTGCTTGGCTTCTTCCGCGGCTGTCTTGGGTGAGTCGCTCCTCGAAAGTACCATCGCACGCTGTGATCTATCTCTCCACCTTTTCCAGGCTACCGCAAGACTAGCCACAAAGACTGTTGATCCAAGCCATACTCCTCCGAACACTATCAGAGCTCCAGATCCGCCCATCATAGCGCTGGTGCAAGTCGCAAAGATCGAACCGGCGACGACGTTGCCGATACCCGCCTGAATAATCGTTGCTGTACTGCCTACGGAACATCAGTGTCTTTTCTTTACGATCAACGTCTCGCTGTGACCTACCAGCGACAATTCCAGCTGGTCCAAATCCCGAAGCCGAGAGCGCTATAGCTGTGGCGATGAGCGCGACGAGAGGCACCACTATCAGCGCGGTCTCCCATGGGTGTAGCTTGATCCATTCGCCGATTGCCTTTACCGTACCGATAAAGCCAAGTTCCTTGACCTTCTTGACGGCTTCGGTCACAGCATCTTTGGCTTGTGTGGCCAGGAAAGTGGCCTTATCGGCGACGTGTTTCCAGACGACTTTGATGCCATCATTTGCTCTCACGGGGCTGTGACGCTCCCTAGGCAGTGCATGTCCCGTGGTGCCGCCTTTTTCATCATCGCCCGCACGCATCTCAGGCTCGGCATTGCTGCTAGATCTGTCTTCAGAACTGTCGCTTGCGTAGTCGGTAGGGTCATGTTCTATCTCCTCGTCGTTTGCCTTGCTCTCGGCTCCTGTTTGTTGCGGCCCGGTCGGCTCCCTTGCCATAGCAGCGCGAGTCGCACGTAGCATTCCAAGCCACTTCGGTGTCGGGATGAAATTTGCCATATCGTCTGACTAATGGTTGGCAGCAGTCTTGGGGAGGAATCTTTACTTTGATCTCGAGAGTGACGCGTTGCGAGGGTCTAATCACGACCTTGATGATAATGCGGGGCTTCAGGTTTGTCCAATCGGCTATGGCTTGATTCACCCTCACCATGAAGCACTCGCGCCTTCACCGCTCGGTGAAGTAAAGAATACAATGGAGCATTCTCAAAACAGCAGGTTTCCTGGCGGCCTGCAACCTACAAAATCTCCGTTGATGGCGCGAACAAAGATTGGGGATCACATAAGGACAGCGACATATGCGAGATACTATCAGAACTTCAGTGACTTCATTGGATGTCGATTGCCTCATGTCCACATAACGTATAAACGTGAATTTCTACTGACAAAAAGGTAAATAGCCTGATTCCTCTGCCATGAGCTCGTTGACTTCGTTATCGACGAAAGCGCGATGCACCTCTTTGGCCTTCTCTAGCTCGCACATTAATCTATCCCGTTCCCAGATAGTCCACGCGGCGAGGTCACGACATGCCTTCGCAGCCTTCTCGGCGGTCTCCTTCGCCATCTCCAGTTCGAGTTTCAGCCTTGCGTTTTCCTCGACCAAACGCTCATAGTCTTCTTTGGTGACGAAATCGTGGGAGAGTGAGGGCGGAATAGGGTCTTGACGGGGCGTAGACGATGACGTACAGTAACTTTGGAAAGGCTCGAAATGGGAAGAACTGGGAGAAGCTTCGTCGGCTTTGCCAGGACGACGTTTCTGGTACTCTGAGAGGTATACACATTCGCCGTAATGGGCGGTGGTCAATGGATAGGACGGACGAAGTTCGAGCGTTATCTCACTCCTCGGCAATCCACTGCTCGTATTGTTCAGTGTGGGATCTGGAGTGCGTTGCTCTGATATTTGGTCAGTGTTGATCACTTCTTCTAATCATTGGTGATGATAGTGAAGGACTTACATTGACAGAGATACTCCTCTGGGCATCGCCCATTGCGCCCGACGGATCGCGATTCCGCTCCATTACCATATTCTCAGCGTCCCCAAATACAAGTGTATATAATAGCGACTACTCGAGATATGGCGGCGTGAAGACGAAGAAACATTGGGCACGAACGCTCACGTGCACCCAGGTATCCACCTGCGTTAGCGCCTTGTTACGCATTCCCTGGTATCTCCAAGCTCCGCGGTCCTTCACTACTTGTCTTCTCGTTGCTCATACTTACACAATACAAACGTGCCTGTAGAAGGCTAGCTTGCCGTACGAGTCCTCGGATGTGTACCGCATGGTCAACTGGGGCCAAGGTGGTTTCCAAACTTGACTTTCCAAGATCGAGAATCTTCACGCCATCATCTCCATCTGACGTGTCGTGGTTATAGTTGTCTTCTTCACAAATGCAAGGTATTCCCGTTGATTATCTCCGTTAGCCCTCACATGTTCGGATGATTCAGTTCATGTCATGTATATAAGTAGACGTGTTGCCCAAGATGATGCGCGACGAAATCGAAGAGATCTATGCAGTGCATGCAGTTCAACAGAAGCATGGGCAAGGTGCTCGCGCTATTTTCGTGTGATTTGTAATTGAAGGAGATACGAGAGCAGCTGCCCATGTCAGTGTCGATTAATACAAGATTAGAACAGTATCATTGCTTATCCGTTTGAGTCAATGTCTCAGGAAGGAAGTGAACATGACGGAAGAGAGAGAATATGAATGAGGAACCACATCTACATAACGAAGATCGCCGATTACTGATGTAAGGCATTCAGGAATCGATGAAACGTCGTCCTTTTCTGGACCACGCGCCTGCTGTAGGAATGGCCAGGCAGATATACGGCGTTCAACTGTCAGCAACCTCGCGGCTGGCTCGTTCATCTACGAAGATGAGATCTGCCGAGAGATGATGATATCGACTCTGAGGAATGAGGATATATCCAGGACAAATATATCTACTCATGGTATCTCAGCGTGGACTGGACACAGCTTGTCCCCTCTTTCCCTCACTGCTCATACTGGTTTGTTCAACCTGGTCCTCCTTCACCGGAGGAATTCACTGCGCCTTCGTATACTAACGTGGTAATCACCTATTATAACAGCTCATGTTGGAATACCACGTGGCTTTGAGTCAGAAACGTACCTACCCGATCGGGTGTGTACATGTCAACAAAACAATAGGCCTCAGCTCATCGCTGTCAACACTGAACACGTACACCCACAACGATCCATACACACGCGCATTGGCAACCTCACAAATTCAACATGGCGAATTCATACCTTATGCAATCTCTGTATGACCCGAATTCGCCTGCGCCCGCCGTCAAGTCTGAAGCTCCTGTATCCGAGGAAGGTGAGATACGAGAGCAGAATGAGACTACAAACTCCGAGCATTACATACACGATGCGCGCCGGCAGCTGATAGAGTCCAACGGTACGTACTTTCTATCATTGCCATCGACTTTAGTGACACCCAGAAGAACCCATTGAAGTCGATCGTCAAGTCGACCAGTGCTGGAAGCCGACTGGCGCCAACAAGCAGCCGATAGGCATCAAGAGCGAATCTCCAGCTGCTCGATATGATCAGGGTATAAGCAGCTTCCCATCTTTCCTGCATATCGAGACTCCTGCGCCTCTTCCGCCACTGCTGGTAAACACTGCACATAAGTTGAGGTATCCGGTCGAGCGGTATCTTCCTCCCGCCGGGATATACTATGATCAGCTCGCTTTACCCACTGTCTTCGGCACCCACTTCTTCAAGAAGGAGTGCTGTAAAGTCTGTTGGATCATGCATTACAACCCGGTGGGCGGTTCAGCAACGTCATGCGGAAAGAAGTGCCAGGTCTGTGGAACAAGCCGCCACAAGCATGAGGTAAGATCCACCAAAGATCTTCAGCAGGGTCCTAATCAACCTTGCTAACAGAGCTGTCCACTATTATACTGCTCCGCTCAATGGTACCATGAACGCTGCGTTCCACACCGCCCAAAGACCCTCTATGACCGACAGATACGTCCTGAAGATGACGAACTAGCCATAATGTGTGAGATTGGTGTTCTGGATCGAACACGCGGCCCCAACGGTATCATAATCGCAAAGCCAGATCATCCTGTTGTGAAAGCCTTCTATGATGGCCGACCCGACCCACAGCCGATGACAACCAGGATCATGGATACAGAGCGAAAACCCCGCTCAGTGTTCACCACTACTGCCGAAGGTTTCTCGTTTGTCCCAAACGTCCAATCTCAACAAACGCTCTCACTGCGAAAGCGCCCGTTCAGCCTACCAAGCACAACCGTCAACAACAGTCTTGATCCTTACCTCCGAGATCCTTATACTCCTACGTATCCAGCTCGACATGAGAGTATTCAGCATAAGATTGTGATGGACCAAAACGATATAACCACGACCAATCCACTACACACTGAAGATAAACTTCAAGAGCAGGAGATAGAGATTCTCAAGTTGAAAATGGAGGCTGCTATCAAAGATCGGGAGGTTCGGAAGCTCAAGGCAGAGAATGATGCGCTCAAGTTAGAGAACGAGAAGCTACGTATCTATCCCATCAGCACCGGCGGCACCTTCGAGACTGGGAGCAAGCGGTCGCGCTCCTACTTCTAGTACAAAACGCGTTAAGCGACAACGGACAGACTTTGTCGAGTGAGTGTATGTGTTGAGACAGACGTAATCACATAGTAGGTGACGATCTCCAATGAAAATCGATGATATGTATAATGAAATGTGTAATCAAACGCAGTGTTGGATGGCAAGAGTGATGAGCAGAGAGTGACCTCGGGAGAGGGAAGATGAAATGACTAACCTAGGGGCAAACCTTCACTTGTGATTTTCCGATAGCGCGTCTTCTTCGCGATTCTCACCCAACCGGCTCATAGCACATCTCACTCGCCATCGCAGCTACGCACCGAATCTCCCGACTGCACATTCGTCCAGCGCCAATCTGTGACGGTAGCGCGGAAACTACCGTCATTGCAGATGTTCAACAGCGCAGATGGCCTGAGAGTCTAGAACGAGATGTTTACGCTTGCTAGGAGTATGCGCCGCAGGAACAGAATGGACGTGAACAGCGGAAGTTTACATGCAACCAAGGAGTGAACGTCTACTCCATTTTCGGTCTACATGTTGGCGCATTTGAAGACATTCTAGGCGAAAGAGACGAACATGTCTTATGGCTAAGAAGTAGACTTGTGATTTGTGTACAAATCAGGTTGGAGAGACGGTAACGGTGATGTTGATACATGCGTCATGAAGCAAATTGCTCCACCGGAAAATTCTCAGTAGTATTAACTGTAACCAAGTAACCCTTTTGCACTGCCCTCGGGCTATTCAAATTGGGCTGCCATGCCGCTCCTCTACTGGTACAGGGTCAAGATGTTTTCTCCAAGGTTGAGCTCTAATTCAAAGGCCGACGTTGCATATCCGGGCTAAGTAATCGCGGGGATTTTTACTTACCTCGATGGTATCCAGAACGCTATCGATACCTCGTAGCTCGGACGCATCGTTGTAATTGTATGTGTCGTAACCCCAGTTTTGAAGGTCCTCAACATCGGTGAAGCTGCTTTGTGCGAGGCTCGTCGATTCGGCCATCATCAGCTTAAAGAGCCTGGTGCCTTTGGTGACCAGTTCTTGAAAGTCCGCTTTGTGTTGCAAATAAGCGGATTGCCTTATCTCGCTCGAGCTCTTTGGTTCCGATCGTAGTGATACAGTGAGCTCATCGAATATTGCTGACACGCCGGTATTTGCGTCTTGACTCGCACTCGATGATGCCAACATATGCGCTCGTATCTCCGACATGGTCTCCGGAACAGGTGTGCGAAGCATATCGAGGGTAAGTTGATCTGGGGGTGTTTGAAAGTAATAAACGATCTTGAACTGCCGGTCATGCACAAAGTATGATGGAATGTTGAGAAACAATGTAGATTAACAGATCGATCCTGAGAGACTGTTGCGCAGTGTCATATTCAATGGACCAAAAGACTCATGTTGAAGGATCGCATGAGCGGGTCACATTTGCAATGTGAAGACATCTGATTCGATGTTCAGAAGCCGTCTCGCACTCGCCAATGAGCAATTCTATTGATGTGATGGACTCAACTCTATCTGGGTACTGACGACCGCTAGATAGTCATCGTTGTATCATCACTAATCAGACTGTACTTGTATCGATGTCAGTAACCCAATTCCGGATGGACACGCAATGCATCTGTGAACAGGTGTACGAAACGATGGGGGTTTGATGGCATTGGAGATGCAAGCGTGTCGGCGTTCGAGGCACCGACGCTATGCTCAATCGATCGAGAACCCCGCACCATCCCTGCAAGGGGCCGCAGATGCCATAGGCTACCATCTGACTTTCTCTACTCTGTCGCGGCCGTGGTACCGCCTCAACCAATCCCACGACACCAGCTGCTCGCTCTTCGCCAACTGCGTCGTCTTCAGTGGAGGCGCTGTTCGCATTAGTATCACAGTCCAAGTAGTATCTTATTAACCGAGCGTTCCGGAGACTGCCAGTCCCGATAAGTTCTTGGTTGGAAGCGCTCACGCTCGATGAGCTTACCATACAGACATGCATCCAGAACCCACAAACCGACGCAAGCCACACGAGTATGTCAACTCAGTCAACTGCATTGACGTGCAGATATTGCGCCGAGACCTTCCAACGCAATGGTCACCTTCAGCGTCATCTTCTTCGTCATACAGGCTCAAAACCTTTCAGCTGTAGGCTATGCTCGAAATCCTTCTCAAGGAGGTGTGTGAATCAGCTTCCTTTCAGTGTTGTATCAAATGACTAATATTCCGAAGCGATACGCTCTATCGGCATCGTCTCACCCACGCTCGGGCTAAACACCCACAGAGTGATAGAAAAAGAGCCTCACGAGCATGTGCTTCTTGTGTGAAAGCAAAGCAGCGCTGCTATGGTCAGAATCCCTGTACAAGATGCCATCGGAAGGATCTTCCATGCAAATTCAACAACGATCAATTAGAGAGCGCTACTCTTGCTCCCCCAACAAGCAATACTTTCGCGAACCACACGTCGTCCGAAATCGTTCACGAACATGGAACTGACATGACACCGCCTGACTTCAGTCCGGATCCAGGATCTACAACTGTCTCCCTTGAGACAACCTCGCAGATTACCGATGCTGCGCTGCTACGTCGGTCCCCCATATCTATTCCCATGGGCGATACTCTATCTGAGGGAATGCACGGCACAGACTGGTCTGGTCTTTCGCATATATCCGGCTCCGGAAACAGGTCGAATTCCGAATTACCCACGAACTTTCCTTCAAACGGAATAAACTACTTCAATGAGTTGTCTACCGACTTCAACTTACCACTCGCCTGGATGATCCCAGTGAACGAAACTTCCTTTCAGATGCCATGCACACTCGAGTCGGGCATATCAGATTCCTACATATCCAGTTATGGCAACATGGTCGCTATAGAGCCCACTGATAATGACGAACTTCCAAGACCTGAGGTCGAATCACACATTACTGTTGAGGCCCACAGGAGGGTCTTGGACAAGACTGCAGGCACAGTAGATTCTTATCTGACGTCCTCATGCCCGCCGTTTCCTATGCTCGAAGAAAACACATTACAAATTGTAGGCGCTGAAATTTTCGGTCATGTAAGTGCAATATCTACAAAAGCCTACACAGATGCACGCTCCTTTTACATCTCGGAACGCGGTCATGATGACATGCTCTTTCCCCACTCTCAAATGCTCCATGCTTTTGTAGAGTTGTACTTCGAGTATTTCGATCCATACCTTCCCTTTTTGCATCCAGTCAGAGTTGAAAGAGGTGACATTTGCGGAGTCCTTCTGATAGCAGTCGCCGCCATTGGAAGTCAGTACTCTGAAGCGAAAGACGCACCTACGTATACTACAGTGCTTCACTACTTGCTACGGAAAGCTATCAAAGTTCATGTAAGTTTGCATGCTGAATCAAAGCGGTGAAATCTGACGCCTTTGGGATCTCTAGATCTTTACAAGACGAACAGAGATGTCCTTCGCCCAGAGCGTGCTACTGCGGGATGTAGGACTTCTCGCATCTGGCCGCAAATCAGACCATGCTGTGTTGCAGCGAGAGCGAAATATGATCACGAACTTGTGCCGCTCTCTATCCACTCGCGCAGGTGCCCCTGACAGCGAGGACTTTGTAGTAGACCAAAATTTGGATCACGGATGGATGCCATGGTTGCAAGGAGAAGAAGTTGTTCGTCTCGTTCACTGCGTATACAGTAAGTCGAACAATGGAGATATTATGAACACAACCTTTTGACACTTCGAATAGCACTAGAATGTTTCCAGTTGATCTTGTTCGACCAGCGTCCGCTCTTCAGAGTCACAGATTTCGCCCAGCGCTTGCCTTGCACTCATGTTGTCTGGAAGTGTCGCACTGAGAAATCATGGAATGAGCAGAAGCGTTACAAAGCCTCCGACAACCAAGCGTCAAGATTCGATCACTTCGCCAGCAATATTCGAATCTTAAGTCTGTACGCTGACGAGAGAGCTATTTTGGACCAGGTGCGATCTTCACAGCGCTTGAGCGCCCTACTGAAGCCCGAATTGGCGACCGCTCTACAAGAACAAGATGTCAACTCCAATCGAGATAGTCTACTATCCTCTGGGGTCTCTCCAGATGAAATTACATACTTGGACCAAAGGATTGAAGACGCCATCGCATCTACACATCTCTCATGCCATGCTGGCGATCATACCATGTACGATCCAGTTGTGCACGTCATTTCTATACTAAGGAACATCCCACTACGGATGATTTACGCCTCAGTAGGATGGCAAGCGAACCTCGCTGAAATGCAAAAGACAAGGGAAAGACTGAAAGAGTATTTGCGACGCAACCCGGATACAGCCAGGATATGCTTGTGGCACGCAGCTCAGATATACGCGTTTACTCGGAATGATCGTCATCCTGCATATTATGCAACCCTTTCGTTCGCTATCGCTGTCACCTACATACTTCTCTATGACCAAATACTGAGCCAAAAGAATACGTCAAGGGATCTAGTTCGTCTAGACAAGATCAAAGAAAAGACCGACATAACTGCATGGGCAAGAGACGGCGAGGGTTCGAGAGTACATATCACAGGTATCGGCATATTGCATAGCACTGAGAGCAGTCAAAGATTACTAGCTCATGCAGGGAACATCTTGCGATCTCAGAGACCTTGGCGAGGCATCTCGGAGGATCTCGTAGCCTGCTTTGCACAATTGAGTCAAGGTAGGATGCCAAGGGGTATGTGAGATATCCGTCATGACGCAGATGGGCTTCATTCCTCGTCCTTCTGTGGCAAGACGATTAGATACAACTTCAGCAGTGGCATGACCAGCTTAGCCACATAATGTATCACAACACCCAGGAAGCCATCCAGATTTATGCTGGGAAAGCTAGTTCCTCCGCTCTTCCGAACCCAAGAGAAAGCCCGCGGTATCATGGCTCTTTCGTACTTTTCGCACGCATCCTTCACTTCTTCATATGTCGGATGTTCTGGGCCGACACTAGCTAAAGAATTCAAATGAAGCAGCCGAGGAAGCGCGTCGGCACAATCCGCCAGCGCCTGGTTACCTCCCTGGCCGCGATTGGGTTGCATAGCATGCATGGCGTCTCCTATCACCCACACCCGGGGATGTCCCTTACCATCTCCCTCCTCCTGAGCTCGTAACCGCCAATCCATTCTGGGTTGTGTACTAGCACGTAGTTGCGTAACGAGCATATTGGTATCCCCGGACTCATCGTCTCTGATGTCGATCATCCTATGGAACTCCGGCGCCCAATCCTTGATCGCATCGCGACAAACCTTTCTGTGGTCTTTGACCTCCGAGATGTCCTTGGAGGAAATTTTGTCGACCGGGACAACCAGACCCCAATAGAAGGATGCTTCCGACTCGTTGTATTGCAACGCAACCTTTTCGTTGGCGCCCTTGTGGTGTTCGTCCGCTACCTCCGCTTCTGGGAGATACAGAGCATAGTAGAATGACATAGTTCCGGCGAAGACGATGACAGGTCCTTGACGCAGTTTGGGAGGCAGGCTCATCATGCGGTTGAATGGGAGATTCCCCTTCGTTAGGAAAGCCCAGTGGCTATCCAAAAGCTTGATGTTATTCAGGCCAAGCTGCCTGTTTACCTGGACGACCGTTAACCCTTCATCTACCCTAACCTTATGTCACACCAACCTTGGAGTTCGCTCCATCAGCTCCTACGAGCACGTCGCACACATCATAAGTACCGTCGGAGAAGCAGACCTTAACCTTCTCTTTACCAGTCTTCTCGGTGATAATTTCGTAGTGGTCAAACCCCTTTCCGTACTTGATCAAGCCGCTCTTCTTTATAGGCTCAAGCAGTATGTCTCTTAAGACGACCCTGTTGATACCAGCTGACTTTGAATAAGTCGGCAAACGCGTTAAGTCGACGATTTCTTGGAAGTTCGTGTTGAAAAGCGAAGGCGCTGTCGCTTGTGCTCCGGAGGATTTTCCAAGTTTAGCACTTATCTTGCCAATGTGGTCATCAGTCAAGCATGCGCGAAAGCCCGCCTGAGATCCAGGTCCTAATCGGATTTGGTAGCCCTCTCGATTGGAGTCCGCTCTATCACGCTCGTAGACCATGACCTGGACGCCATTGTTTCGGAGACCGTTCGCTAAGAGGGCACCTGCCAGGCCGCCGCCAACGATGACAACTTTGAAATCGGCCATTTCGAGAGATGAGAATAAATTTTTGGAGAAGACTGTTGATAGATGACGGGTAAATGGAAGAACTGCGGACATGCGAGTGATTATAAACTTGGAGTGGCTGCCTTCCAATCCCCCAACCCGCACTTCGACGATTCAGCAGCCTAGCATATACGTTGTTAAACGTGGGGTAACTCAATCACTATCACCGACTGTGTCGGCCCATGGCGGGCACTTTGTGTGGGCTGCACGCCATGTGGTAATGAATTATCAACTCCGAAGATGTTCATTGGTCCCACCATGAGCCGCCAGCCCCACAGGCATCCCCGTCACTCTACACAGCTTCGCACAACGACTCCCAGACCATCCACAGCGAATAGCAATGCATCGGCGTCTATGTTTGACCGGTAGCCGGAGGTATGTATCTATTCTGGCAGAGCGATTGTAAGAAACGTATGCACAACATTAATCAACTGACATCGATTGGGGTAGTGGAAGTGGGAGCGACCCTTATTCTTGCGCAAGAGAAGATTTACATACACTATGACCATATGTAATAAACTTCCATCATAAGCATCAATTATCTCTAACATGCCCATGCAATGGCGTCGGTGGATCGACCATAAAAGATCTGAATTTCCATACAAGAATGGCTAGATACCGATGTATAACGGCGCATAGCTAGATATCGAGGTCTGTGCATCGCCCAGGTATCAGACTCAGTACGCTAGAGGTCGTCTCCTTTTCTACGCTTGTCGTAGCCCCTGTGACATCTACTTTATATGGTGCAATGCAACTGGATGAGCGATCAGCCGCGATACTTCCAATGCAGCAATATGGATCAACTCACCTGTCGTCGTGCAGGCACCAGATTACTGTCTTCGGGCCATCGAGCCACCGAACTTGCTTCACAGCGAACTGTGCGGCTGATCCATTGAAGGGCCGTCCATCTTGGTTCGCTCGACCTGCGATAGCGAGAAGCGCAATCTTTGGTTTGGGCTCTACTCTCGACATGACACCCTCATAGGCACCTAGGTGAGCGTTCCAGAGGATTGCACTGCCGTTGATGATCATATTGAACATGAGCTGACCACCATCGCAATGTGAGAATACCTTGGTACTCCTGTCGTGGACGTAGTCGAGGAACGAACGCATCCCATCAGTCATCTTGTCCTTTGGTACGAGCTTATCTAGCTGTAGGAGACCATACTTCATCCCATTGGTGATGTCCAAAGTGCAGGTATAAGGAGAGACTTCTCCAGTGTAGACGACTGAGGTGTCCATAAGATCGGGATGAGGATTGGGCATAAAAGCATGTAGTGATGGCCAGACATGTACTGCAAGTGAAGCAAGCGAATGATCAGGCATTTTCGGCTGGCCTGGAAGAGCCTTGGCTGTCAGAACCTCGCCGCGCTTTGCTTGATCTCTCAGAGCACGCGTGAACAGTGGTATACGTTCTCCGCCAGATACAGGCATAAGTTGCTCATCCGGGACGCCAGCGGAACGAAGAAGATTTATAGCTTCACAATTGGCAACAACAATGGCTCCAGTTCTAATCGCGATGCGATCGGCTCCTGGAAGGTGATCGAAGTGGGCGTGAGAGATAAAGATGTAATCCGCTTCGTTCACGTCTTCAACCGCCAAATATCGCGGCAATACGGATGGCCGGTCGAGCCATGTATCCAGAAACATAGTAACTCCACCGGTTCGAAGGCGAAATGTTGTCGCACCTACCAAAGTCAGCGTTCCAACTTGTCGCATGGATATCACTGAACCATACCAAACCATTCTATTGTAGTACCTGTCATCGTGTTTGGCATGAAGTTTGAGTCTATCCTTCTGATTATATGTATTCAAGCCGACTATCCATACACTCAAGAGCAGTTAAAGACTTACTTTATATTTGGCACCAGGGTCCGTAGGTTGCCTACTAGCAAGTCTCAGGTGGGGACGCAGCCGACGGGGAAGTCGATCTGCTACTAAGCCATTCTCGGCCGATTCGGAAGAGAGCGGGGATCGAGCACACGAGGATGAGGACACACCAGTATGTGCGACGAAGCTAGCGGGCGCCACTCATGCTTCGTACATCAACTTGCACCATCAGGTTATGATGTCTAGGATCTCCCAAATCGCAACGTTGTTCATTACATACCACATATTTTTGCCAGCTCGACAGACGTGACGGTGTTCTTGTTTACTTCCAGTCTCTATCTCTCACTACTTTTGCGCTTGCTTTGAACAAAACAGGTGCCCGATATATTTATCAAGCCTGAATTCGTCTTCTCGCTGTCCTCATTCAAGTCTTCAGCACTACAACTTGTCCTCATCGACATAAGTACGAATTCCTGTCCCCTCGAACGCGCTAACAAAGTAGTCTAGCTGTCTGAGATCGGATTTCGTCACTGTTTCGTCGATCGTAAAGCGAAATCTTGCAACCAGCATTGCAAGCGTGAGCGTGATCTCTGCATATGCAATATTGATTCCGAGACACTGCCTTGCACCCTTGGAGAAAGTTACGAGATACCTCTCCAAGTCTTTGGCATCTGCAACTAGCCATCGGGATGGGTTAAAATCTCTGGCATCTTCGCCCCAGATGCTCTCGTTGTAGTGCATCGAGTAGGCAGACATACCGACAATGGTTCCGACAGGGATGACCTTCTCGTCAACGACAAGTGGTTTCGTTCCGTCCGGTACGACTCGCGGAAGTCTTCCAGGCACTGCCATAGCGCAGCGTAACGCTTCCTTTACACAAGCAGTCTGACCGCGTTAGCTTTGTTTTGCTATTTATGAGAGAATCATACCAGATACGGAAGTTGCTCGAGTCTAAGAAGATCAAAATCGTGCTCTGCCGTAATGCCAGCGTCTTTTATTTCATTCCTGAGATTGTTGAATATCGTTGGGTCCTCTATGATCGCTTGGATGGCAACTGCGAGGGTTGTAGCCGTTGTATCAGATCCTGCAATCAAGATATCCGAAGCTTCAGCCTGCACCAGCTTGTCATCCAGATGCTGCATAGCATCGAAAACAATCTCACGGTCCAGGCATTTCCCGGAACTCTTCAAACGTCTGAAGTTGGCTACTGTGGCAGCAACTGCACGAATGAGGCCCTGGAACTTTGCCGCTGACTCGCTGAGCTTTGCTGCGACAGCAGGCGGACATTTGTTAACGATGATTCGGATGAAGGGGAAGAACGACAGGTCCCATAGCGATTCGGAAGCCAGGTCAAAACATTCAATGAAAGGTGTGTTGAATGTGTTGTCTTCAGACTCGGTAGTCAGATCGAAGGACTCTCCGAAAGCAACTTCGGTAATGAAGTCTACCGTTAGACATCTGTTACACGTTTGTTAGCTAATCTCCGGTTAGCTTGCTTCGGTTCCGGTACCTGAAAGCGTGATACAGATTGATCGCGCCATTTCCTTTCATCTCGGCGATCCTGTCGCACATGATAGTGACCTTTGTGAGCAAGATCTTGTTCATGGCTCGTACAGAAGACTTTGAAAAGAAGTTGCTAAGTAGCTTCCGTCGCGCACGGTGCAGTTCTCCGTCATGCTCTACAAAGACGGAATGGGGCGTGTTGAAAGCATCATAGAAAGACTTTTGTTTGGGAAACGTATAGCGTTGCGAGTAGATGGTGTGGTAAAGCGTGGGATCAGTGATGTGTAGCTCGTTTGGACCGATGCGTAGTACACGCGTATCTGTCTTATCGTCAATGTTCTATTCGAAAAAACCATGATATAGCATACTGTATGTTCGATGAAGGTGCTCGAGAACTTCTTCAATCTTCCCATGCTTGCTCAACGGGTATTGCCACCAACTCGAGAAAATCGCTTTGTAGGGACCAGGAAAAGATGCCAATGGATGGAAGTAGACCAGATAAACTGCTCGAAACGATCCCAAAGTGATTGCGAGGGAGATGATGAAAATCGTTAACTCAAGAAAGGAGCAGTCGCCTAAGGCAGAGCTTGCCAAGCTTTCCTGGAGACGAGGAATGATGGTTGCGCGAAACATCACGGACCAGATGATATGGCAGATAAGTGTAAACCTCGAGCCATGTTCATGGATCTTTCTTATATCATACAGTAGCTACTATCGTCCCAGAGGGATCAATGTTGCAATTCCTAAGTCCGATTACCTTGTGTTGTGGAGAGTCGTCGTACGCAGGCGACCTATTGCCGACGGGGCGGTGGCCGCGGGTCCCTTGAACGTTCTCGTTAGCACGACCAGAGTTCCGACGGGGCTGACGTGTCGGCAATTATGAGTCAATTTCCGATGAGAAGCTTGACTGATTTAGGCTCAAGTGCGGAGGTGCCAACATCATGCTATTTGCGCAGAGTTCGCGTTGCGAAGAGACCAATCCTGTCACCTGCTGCAGTCGACTTGAGACGTCGCGACTCACAACACTGGAGTTGAACTGACTCCTGACTCACCATGCCCTTGTGGGAGGGTTACGAAATGGTCAAATGCATGCAATCCGCAATGGCGAAAACTTTGGCAAGTAAAACCGTAAACGATGTTCGATGCTATATGATGGAAACAATATCTCGACCACTCGAGGTGTTACATCTCAACTCGACCGAATTAGATTGCTAGCTAGCTGTAGAGGTTCGGTCTTGGCCACGTTACTCGTCATCACCTTTTCCCATCTGTCCTTGAGCCAGCAAGCGTCGCGTCTTCTCGACGCGGGCTTGTTCGATGGAAATCGCCTTGGTAGAACCGTCCCGACCTGGGTTGATGCTCAGTATATACCACCTCAATATATTCCACATTCCTTTCGCATTCTATATCATAGTGCGAAGGAGAAACAACAAGGCCGCTTCGAGGAGTTTGTGAAGCACTGTGATCATCGTTGCATCGAGCTCGAACAGCATTGTCTGGAATCCGTCCTTGCACTTGTCCCGACTCAAGGGCTCTTACTCGAAGTCGAAGAAATTCCAACTCAGTCTCTGACTTTGTGAGGCGGTTCCGAAGCTTCGCGTTCTCGATCTTATATGCTTGACTTTGTTCCTCCATCTCTCGTATCTTGGTGGTCATAGTGCTGATCTCACGCGTGTAGATGGCGGCTTCTGCCCTCATTTTGGTGTGTCGCTGTTCGGTGGCCACATTGTCGCTTGGTATCTTGTTGTCCTCTCGCAGAGGATTGGCATAGGAGGCCGCCAGGCTATTCAAAGACTGGGTCGTTCGGTCAAGGCGACCATGCAGCTCGCTCGCGACCACTTTGGTTTCTATCTACTTTCGCTGGAGCCTTAAGTTATTGGCTTCTTGGTCTGCAATGAATGGCAAATCACTGGTGAAAGAAATGATATTATTGTGGTATGTCAGTAAGAAACGTATAAGTGCTTGGCCGAATTTGCTCACAACAAACGATCATCCATTGGTACTGTATTGCGTTTTAGCGTTGATACACCGAGAACGGAACCACTCGTCTTGATATTGGTATAGAGATAGCTGAGCCGAGGATCACGCGGATTGTTATGAGTGTTATCTGGAACCATGTAATGACATTGAGGGACTGGTGAACAATTCGAACACAAACAGATCCTGTGCATACGCGGCTTGAATAGAAGGATTGGCTCGGCGTGTGGGGTTCTGCAGCGTGTGGGTAAACATAGAGGCCTTGGTAATGAAGGTGAAGAAGAATATTCTAGGTACCGTACCGCAAGACCGATACCGCATCATTCGAGCGCTCTCACACCGACACTGCGCTCTGAACTACGCCCGCTCTACAGCCAGTCCGATCGAGTTTTCGCAGTTCGATTTGATTGACGCAGACACAATGCCGCGCGGTAATCTACTTCGACACCTCTTCAAGCATGGTTCACACGCGAGATCAAAATCCCACGAGCAATCGCCGATAGTCAAGAAAGCTGAAGAGCCAGCGACTATCGCATCCGAAGATCCCTCACAAACACTATCACCTCCACACACATCCAGGGCCCCTGCCATTCATGTCCTGCCTCGAATCACCGAAGAAGACTCCGTTCCTTCTGCTACCACACCGTCTCCCGTAGTCTCAAGCGCAGGAAGCACGGAATCTGATCTCCTATCCATCACCACTGTCCTCGACATAAATGCGCCTTCCTCCCCGCCGATCATCGATCCTGCAACTCTCACCACGCGCGATCTCGTCTGCGCCGCCATCGATGAGTCCATAACAGCAATTGGCACTCATATCGACACGCTGGAAACTACGTTGGCGCTACTCCAGGCCATCACTGGTTTCAGCGAGACGGTCGGAGTGCTGAATCGGGAGATGGAAGACAAGAAAAGGGTATGCAAAATGAAGCTTAGGGAGCTGGAAGAGTTTGAGAAAGCTGTAGAGAAGATGAGACTTCCGGATGACGAGGCTCATGTAGCACAAGATTGATTGTGTCCGCCTATCTGGGAGGGGAACAAGCATCACCAGAACCCGTGAGCGAAGGTGGAACGGATTGCAGATTTGTTTAACCCAAGACTCTGGGTGTCGTTCTTGAAGCGTCTCTCTTGTGGCTCACGATCACACATCACTTTTCTGGCTAACTAAATATCATCACAACGACTATGGTCAAGCGCTGCATAGAGTTAGCAATCATACAGAAGTTTACATCATCTCACTATTTAGAAGCAGTGATATATCACGGTATACATCAATCCCATGATGACTAACTTTGAGATGTCAGGAGTATATTACAAGACTCATGTAGGTGACAGGCAGTACACAAGTGATTACTTTTGGTCGCTTTCGTCTTTGTTCGTTTGTAAAGCTGGAGAGAGGACCATGCCAAGAATCAACACATAGTTTAACAGACTGTAGACACTTTCGAACCGGAGAATGGCCGCGACTGCTGCCTAATGTTGGCGAAATTGGCCCGCTTCAAACCCATCACGCACTCATCCACTGTCTGACCTTGCTTAGTGATGTGCATGGGCTGTGTGACCTAGCGAGACACTTCTCTACGAACATGAACTAGAGCTCTCTTCAACCACCATACTACCGAGCACGTCCTCCGTCGTGCGTACCCTGTATTTGAGCGACTACGGAGCTCAGGTAGCTAATTGTGGGCGTCGAAGGCAACTCCAAGAACTCTCTAGTCAGATGACGTACGTCGTGTTACTGATATTATAATTATGACACCTGGCGTAGCAGTAATTTTTCTGGAGATCACCGGTGCTGCTGGGATCAGTATAACACGCCAGTTGGCTTCGCTCGTTAGTCAAGATGGAACAGGTTGCGAGTGGGATCGCTGTCACCACATACCAGCATTCGTTCTCTGACCATCTTCAAGCGGGACAGGCACTCAGAGTGGGGTAGCATTGATCGACGAGTACACCGAAATCTGCGAGACACATAAGATGGTGGTTTCAGTTATCGCTAGGGTGATACAGAACCGATGGGTACTGGTCTGACCCCCTACCATCGGAGCTCATGCGCTCGGACACCTTGGTACGTGTCTAGAGAGTGATGTCATACACGCTGCGGTCATGATCCGCAACATAGATATTATGATGGCATCTTATCACCACGATATACCTCGAAGATCAACATGGTGGTCCTCAATCAGCAGATGCTCATGTACCTGAACTTTCGAGATCCTCATCTGCATGATCCGACTTCATTCATACCTGCCGGTCACGAGCTCAGAATCCGGACTGTGGAGTGGAGTAGTGCCGGTTCGTGCCGGTGCACCGGCGGACGGGAGGAAGCCACTGGTTTCTTCAGGGTAATAGCTAGTTCAATGGGTATTGTAGTAAATCAGCAAGCCGCAAGCGGAGTATGATTCAAAGGCGATGTATGTTGCCAAGATTGCTAAGGCGTGTTGGTGCTGGTCCTGTGGCTGGCAGAGAGTCGCATGCTGAACGGAGAGGAAAGCGGTATAAAGACATGTCGGCGCGCGATGCCCTCAGTGGTGCAGGTTTTGTGCAAGTAATGGTGTAGCCGAGACGACGCTAACAGATGTTGAATCGAAAATGTGCTCAAAGTCCGCTATTCCCGACTATGCCTTCCGGGGATTGGGCTATGACGATCAAGCTGGCTGGGTCAGAAAAATTCGCTGACTCGAAATGTACGCTTCCGAAAAATGCCGTATGCTGTCGTGGCGCGCAGCGGCAATGACCGCAGAAGCTCGAAACAGCCATCGGGAACTAAAATCGGGCGACGTCTGGAGGCCTGACAGTACGACGGTTGAGCAAATGACGCTCGTAGCGGCTCGCCAGTGCAAACGAAATGACGAACTCAAGCAATGCAATGGTACTAACGTAAGTAGCTGAGTCGCACGTGCACGGAAAAGGCAGTAGGTATGAGGTTTGGGAAAGGTCCGATACTTCGCTTCATGGGTAGTTGACTCAGGCATGAACATTTAGCGCACGGTCTACATGATCAGCCTCGTGGCAACCGAGCGGCAAGTGGGACCGATAAAAGGCAGGGATGGTCTGACTAGATGATACCGGCACGCGGGTAAGCACTCTCCATATGGAAGATAGCCGTCTCCTGTTTTCCTGCCTGAAATTTCGTTCAATTTAGTTGAAATCTTCTTCTATATACCCATCTCGTCTGTTCCTCGGAGACTTTGTCACTCCAACGCCTTCCATTCTTTTGAACCAGTACATGCTAAACATCGGCCGCATATCATCATACCGCCGACAAAACACCGTATACACATAAAACACCAAACAACACCGCAATCATGCCGCATACGATGATGACGAAGACAAGTACATACCCATACGTCCTCACCACAGTCGCTACGAGAAAGGAGGGCGTTTCACGTGAGGAATTTCACCGCCATAACGAAGAAATCTATGCACCACTGCTCAAGAAGGTTGCTGGGAAGGTGCATCCGCTATCCTGGACAAGACACTACCATGTCGACGAATCGGAATGTCCTGTTGGAGTTCCTCGTGTGTTGATTGGCGACGATGACGGTATGGATTGGGATTGTATGGGTGTAATGGCTTTTGAAGATGAATTGCACTTGCAGCAATTCATTGCATTTATGCATTCGGATGATGCATTGCCAGTGCTGGAAGAGGAGGAAAAATTCGCCGAGCCGACAAAGACAAAGCTACTGTTCATGAAGAAGGGTGTTAGTGTACGGGAGAGTTGAAAAAGATGGGTTGTTAGGAGTTCAGGATGGAAAAGTGAGATTGGGAGAGCGACTTTCGGATGGTTTCTATGAGGTCTGCAGTCTCGCAATTTGCGAGACTGATGAGTGCGTTTGATGACCCGCCTAAGAGACTTAGCTCCTGCGGAAAGTTTAGTGATTACTCAACCCGCGGCGCTGGATTCTGACATCTACGCAATTGTACGTCAAGGTTTTATGAAGCAAGGTTTTGTGAAACGAATCAGTTTCTCTCATCTTCAGTCTCTATTGGAAATTCCCACAAGGTGCCGTTTTCGAAGTTGCATCATATCAGGCTTACGAAGAGAGCCAATTTGCGGCCCAATCCTCTTGACTCATGGCCGGTCCCCGTGATGCCTCCACACCCCGCATTCTGTTACCCCACCGGTCGTAGCCATCGGACCACAATATGGGAACCGTGTCAGTGGTCGATTTCAGAGTGGCACCTTCTGCCAATTGTATATCGCCGCCATCCAAGATCCAGATGTGATTCGGAAGCAGGGCCATCTTTTCATAATGTACATATGCCGAATTTGTCTGTGGTTGGTCGCACAAACAAACCAAAGTTGAGCGTCGTCTCTGAAATCGGTATGAGTAACATGAACCGTCACCACTGTGTTGTTCCAAGACTTCTCGGCAGACGCAGGGGTGAGCTCTGCAGAGCGATACCTTGACCTGGCGGCTTGATGCATGAAATGAACGACATTAGGCGGCAATGCGGGGCCTGTGGACTGAAGCTTTCTCGTCTCTGGTAGTCGTCGAAGAATAGCTTGGATGTCTTAGTGTTCAAGATCTTCCACTGCATTCCGTTCCCTAGGTATTTGCGTCGTCAAGCACTCCAGGATTTTGCAATGTCTTATCTTGGAACCACTCTTGCTGAGCCCGACGATCTTCGTTTGTGACTCTTCAATGAACTCTTGTATCAGCCTCTTGATGATGGGCTGTGCTTCTGCGCGAATCAGCTTGCTAGTGCGTAGTATAACCGTGGGCAAGTGCCATATGACCAAGATGGCGACAAAATCGTCTATAGAGACTTCAGTGTGCTTGACCTGACGCGGTAGATGTTCATAGACGAGTAAACGTATCTCCGTGGGAAGTCTCAAAAACGGGAACGACTCGAATTGGGCAGTTGACATATCGGCGTTGGAATAGCAATTCCTGATGACCAAGTGATCGCCATCGGCTGTTGTTACTAAAAAAGAATTGAATGAATGTCAGCGATGTTGGTGGTCGTAGTTGAGCGAACCTGGAGGGAAAATAGGAACGAAGGTAAATTTGTGGCTCGTTAGGAGATGAGTGCGAGATGGGAAGAGAGACTTAATGTCTTGTATATACTTAGTCCAACATTGACCTATCGGAGCGTGTGGAGATGACAGCAATGCCGTGATGATGATCCCCGCGTTAACCGGAAATACCGGATGCCCATGTCTTGAAGAGCGGCTGGTAGACACAAGAGTATCTGTAGGTTTCGTGGAGGATACCAAGCGTCTGACGGTCGGAGATGATCGGCCGAATGAGCGCGACGAAACTGGTTAGCAGCTTCTTCACCAACAGTGAACGGCGGCATATGGTAAGTTTATAACATTGAAGTTCCCATGCGAAGCATCAGAGTATTTGAGACGCAGATTTCGTGATTTTTGGGCTTCTACCTTGGTGTTGTGCTCTAATCATTTTAATCGTACAAAGGAGCTGGAAGTACAAAACCGCCTGAAGACTAATGGCACCCTAGAGAGATTCGCAGCGGGTCATAATCTTCCCACATGGGCGCAGAGTCCTGTAGTTACATCTGGGGGCCGCATGAACAAAGATTTCTAACCCCTTTACATAGAAGGTAACCATTCCTCGACCCAAGTTTCCTGGCTGATATGAGTAGTCGGGACATCATTGAAGCAATTGGATTCATAGAGCTCCCTCCAGTCAAGTTTGGCGGGAGTGTTGGTGGCCGTCAGCTTGATCTCCCCATCAGGTGCATGAAGAACCATACAGGTCTCATCCACTTGAGCACACGGATCTGGGCAATACGAACGCCGGAGCATTGTGTTTATAAGGATCTTTCGCCTAACAGCTTCCCGGACCAGACGACAGTGATCTGCTGTGCTGTCGAAATCGACGCAAGATATAATCGCGATAGGGTTGCTGGTCGCTAATGTAGCTTGACAGATAAATTGTGTGACCTCGCGAGGTGGTTCGGTTTCCTCGGGGTGGTAGACGAATTCTGGGTGTCTTTGACTGACTCTTATCATATCACAGGATCGACCAGGCTGAAATGGCTTAGCTGTGTATCCCACGTTTAGGTACCAAGATTACGGAAAACTTACAGCAAGCCTTTCACGTTCTGTCGTAACGGCTCTGAGGACATCAAGCATTTGCACGTAGGAGTCATGTTCGATGACCCTTGGCTGCGACTCTTTCACAAAGGTCCGGATCAGAGCGGCAACAATATCGTGCGCTTCAGCGTATATTTCACGGCTTGTACGCAACAGAGCTGTTGGAAGGTGACGTGTGACCAGGATGATCGAGTCAATCTTGTCGTTGTCAAAACAGTTCGCGGGGTGATATCGAAGCTCAGTATGCTTGATCTGACGAGGGAGTTGCTTGTAGATCATGAGGCGCAATTCTGTGGGAAGGCTATATGTTGGTGTGAGGTCAGCGTTTGTCTCAAATATAGTTCATACAGAAACACATACTCCATGAGGCGAAACGGCTCGAGGCCGCTTTGTGCTGCCATCGTAGCGGCAGGCTCGGTAGGTGCAGCAGTGGGAGACTCCATCGTCTTATTTTGAGCGCGATTGTAGTAATCAAGTGATTGCTAGAGTCGAAGTGAGTGCGAGGCAGGAGTAGGCGGCACTAGCGTCGCTTGGCGTGCCAAATGGGTGGTGAGCGTCGTGTTAGCAGAAAGGTTTCCGTAGTTGCCTGCTTAGGTCATCACATTGTGAAATCGTTGAGTCGCCGTACATTAGGACTGGGTCACTATAGAATTGTCGCCTGGAGAACATCTGAATGCTTTCTAAGCCTCCTAAGGCGCAAAGCATAGTACGATAGATATTGACCCCCTATGAGCGTTACAGGAATCTGTGCAAATACAGAAACATCGACCGTGACACCAGCAGCAAACTTGCATCTTGCAGTGTCGTCGAAAGGGAAACCTTGGGACGTATCGGTAGGTGTTCGCGATTGACTGAATATAGAAGAACCTACCATGATCATCTTTGCAGGGAAACTAGAGTTGGAAGAAGGACAGTGACGAGAAGATTATGAGTTAAACATACTATTCAGACAAAAGAGAAAGATCAAGTATACCACTCTTTTCCAGTCCAGGATATCGTCAAGGCCATCCATCCCTACCGGACGCCAACGCCATGCAAGCCCTTCTTCCACTCTCTTAGACCTTCATCCACAGCGCCAACACACCCTTGGCATACTCCACAATCTCATCACCACCCAGCTTGCTCTCGCCATAAAGACGGTCTACAAACGAGATCGGTACCTCCGCGACCGTGCATCCCATCGCCTTTGCCCTAACCATCATCTCCATCTGGAAAGTATACCCCTTACTCTCGGTGCTACGAATAACCTTCTGGAGCACCTCCTTCTTGTACAACCTGAACGAACCTGTCAAGTCACTCACGCCTGGCCTGAGCACGGTGTCCGCAAATAGATTGGCACCCCTAGACACAAACTTGCGCTTGAGATCCCAGCCGAATACACCACCATCCCCCGCATACCGTGTACCAGTGACGATGTCGTAGTTCTTGGTCTTCTGCAGCGCAATCATGGGCGCAATGAACTTGGGGTGGTGCGAGAAGTCGGCGTCCATGATGATGACGAAGTTACCGGTTGCGTATTGCAGGCCGTGGACGTAGGCGGTTCCGAGTCCGAGTTTACCAGCGCGGGCGCGGATTTGGATGCGCTGGGGGGTGTAGACTTTTTGGAGCTGGGCGGCGATTTCTTGGGTACCGTCGGGGGAGCCGTCGTCGACGATGATGAGTTCCCAGTCGAGTTTGCTGGAGGGAAATTAGCATTGGCGTCATGTGCGGTAGAGTTGTCTTGCGACGTACTTCTCCTCGAACGTCTTAGCCAAGAGCCATGTTATTATGGGCAGGTTGCGACGCTCGTTGTAAGTGGGAAGGAGGACCGAGTACTTGTTGGTGTTCGCCATGTTTGGTTCGGCTGTTGTGTCTGCGGAATTGGGTGAAAGAGCGACTGCAGGTGAGGGTTGACGTTGGAGAGTGAGGATTCGCGGAGGTGATCGTGTCCGCAAGTAGCTCGGACCCTGACTAGCCTCTTTGGATCATCTCCTTCCGCAATCCCATCAGGGAGTTTGGGTCCACTTACACGTCGATGCGCTCTTGGTTCGACATTGCCGTGTATCTATCAGCATTGTCGGATTAACGCTGTGGGGTCGACAAGGTATCGCCGTTGGAGTGGCCGGTTCGCATCACGCACCCGACAGACCTAGGTAATCTCCGTCTCTGTCTGCAGCATGTCCGGGAAGAAGAACCTACTTCTTTGTCTCGACGCGTTCGGCACACTCTTCCATCCTTCTAAACCCATCTCAGAAGCCTACGCACAAGCCGCAGCCCGTCACGGCATCAACGTAGGCGACGCCAAAACCCCCTCTGCGGTAGGTTCAAGCTTCAGCTCCGCCTTCAAAAAAGCCTCTCGAGAGAACCCAAACTATGGAAAGGCTACAGGCATGGGTGCAAGGACGTGGTGGTCAAACGTCATAGAAGATACTTTCAAGCCTTTTCTCAGCGCAGGCCAACCCTTCCCACCTGCCCTTACCGAGGAACTTCTTCGCACGTTCTCCTCAAGTTCAGGATACGATCTGTACCCAGATGTTCTTTCTCTTTTCAGAGTGCTGCGAGCTCACTCGGACAAAAACAAACCTTCGGCTGTCTGGTCCTGGGACAAAACAATTGTGGGAATCATAACAAATTCCGATGACCGTGTCCCCGATATTTTGAATTCACTAAACGTCAAAACAAGCTTCCGTCGCTACGTCCCCGGAGCTCAGAAGAACAAAGAAGAAGAACACAGAAACAAACGGGTCGACGATGTACATTTCACTGTGATATCTTACGATGTCGGCTTCGAGAAACCAGATCGACGTATCTTCGCTGCTGCCGAAGAGATGCTAGCTCTCACACTGGATAGCACAGGGTCCAGCTCGGAGACCCCAGCATCATCGTTTGAGAAACTTTATGTCGGAGATGACCTGACGAAAGATGTTTTTGGCGCTGAAGATGCGGGGTGGTCTAGTGTATTAGTGAAGCGAGGTCAGGATTATGGATTGAAGCTGTCGGAGGAAGAGTGTGAACGAGAGGGAGAAACTGGATGGAAACGGACTGTGCCAACAGTGGGCAATTTGATGGATCTATGTGCATGGAGACCGGGGAAAGACGAGACATCTCCGGTGCGGTATGTACATAGCTACGAGCCTCAGAGTAGGGTGCGGAAACGTGAGAAACAGATCGAGATGACGCGGACGAAGGCGGCAAGCAGGGAAAAAGGCCGAGATAATACAGACACTCACTGAACGATCAACAATAGCCACACACCACAATAAAACAACAAACCTGCATCGAGCACCCGTTCCGATAGAGAACAACCGAATACTCCACCACGACAGGCAGCACGGAAATCGGTTGTAGCAGGAAATCCTCCGAGACCTCGAGAAATGACCGTCTTTGCCTCTCAGAAATCTGCATCAGATAAACAATCATTTTCACCTTGTATTTGCAAATTCATCATTCATGCACACATACCATATATCGTGCCATACATTTCGTTTCATGTCACTCCACAATACTAGACACACCAGTAATGCATCTTGCACCAGCTTATCCTAATGCCAAACCATCAACCACGCTTCTTGCCTTGCCGAAGCTCACACCAAAAGAGAACATACGAAACATGATCATGTACAGAATTCATCAGCTAGCCCAGAACCCAACCCGGCACCAAGCCTAGTTTATCCAAAGGCCCCCATATCCTTACTTTTGCAGGATCCATGCCAATTTGCGCCTAGAAGGTGATGCCGGCCGTGGTGCCCGCGAGGTATTAAGGTCTGGACAAATGTGGCATTGCAGTATTCGATTCGTGGGTGATCGTTATAATGCGAACAGAGATGTGCTTGTTACACGACGAGGGACAGTACAACCTCCACTCAATCAAATGCGGTTTGAAAACGGATTCTCTTGTGTCACAACTCCTCATCTTCTTCCATCTTGGTTTCGATGGTGGGAATATTCCCATCAGAGTTTGCTCGTCCTTGGTGCGCGTCCATGAGCGCCTGGCCCAGACTCTTCCGAACATTGTCATCAAAGCCGGGTAATGAAGCGCGCTGCTTCTTGAAAGGTGAAGCGACGGAGTTTTGCGAACTTGGCTCGGCAGAGGCATCTGTGGCGCGTGGGGATGACGGCCCAGGTGCTGACGAGGCGTCGGGTGCAGGTGTACCCGAAAGAGGAGATCCAGTGGAGTCAGAGTGAGAGGGTCCTGCAGGACGGCCTAGAGGTTCTGCGGAATGTTGACGCTTGAGCTATGAGGTGTTAGTATGGCAACTTTTGCTTCGCTATGGAGACATACCTTGATCTTGCGCACACCCTCCGCGAGCTCACCCTGTCTATGAGCGTCTTCTGGCGATAGCATGCCCTTGTCGAATACCTCCTTGTCATCCTCCGCGTCCTCAACCTTGACGTCGTCCTCATCATCTGCGTCGCTGTCCATGGCGTCTTCCTTCTTCTTGTTAGACTTGGGCGAAGTCTCTCGGTAACCACCAAAATTCTTGGTTCCGGCGGCTGCGTTCAGGGGCTTGAGGCTGCCGAAATCAAGCGCTCCGGATTTCCGCTTCGATTGTGGCGAGGTGATTGTAGGCTTCTCCTTTGTGTTCAAGATGCCCATCTTGCGCAGCTGGCCTGTTCTTTGTTAATTGAGATCCAGGGATTTTCATTTTGCATGCTTACGCTCTCCGCGGTACAAGAAGGTGAATACTGCGTATGGCTTGTCCGGCGGGTCTATGCCAGTCACTGTTTGGGTGCTGATAGACTTGGGATCCAACGTCTTGGGCTTTGCGAAACTCGTTGTGTGATCAACGTCTTCGCCCTCTCCTCCTCCGTTTTGTTCATCGTCGTCGTGTGCATCGAACTGAGGTGAGTACTCGCCGCGCTTGATTTCTCCAGACGCTAGCACACGGAACAAAGCGACCTTGATTTGTCCAGCTGCCTCGGGCATGGGAGGCTCGTCGTCCGAATCGGAGTCGGTGGTGAAGAACTCGTCGTTGCCGGAAAGCGTCTCGACGGGCGCGTCCTTGCTTTCGCTGTAGCGCAATACACCGTTGCTGGAAGCTTTCTTGTCCTCGTCGCTGCTGTCCATGGCTTCTCTCCGCTTTGCCCGCTTCTTTTCGAGGCGCTGCTTTCTCCGCTCAATCTTTGCGGCCACATCTTTGTCCTTGCCCTCGAGATCCAGGCCGTTCAGCCATCGCTCGAGACCAACCTCGCGGAAGAGAAACTCGCGCTCTGCGAGACCCCCACCTTCTGACTCTGGCACGCTGACCCACCGCGAGTTGACCCACGTCTCTTCGCCGCGCCGCAGCAGGGTCGCTACTTCCTCCTTCGCCCGGCCGTCAAAGTATATGTATGCAGCAATTGTCTCGTTCGGCGAAGTGGTCAGAGGCTTGTACGGGGCTATCGTGGGACCGTACTTGCCCCGCTCTCCGGTTTGACCAGGGAGGCCACCGACAATCTTAGCCTTCGGGTTGGGGTCATCTTCAGTCGGCTTGGGGGTAGAGTAGGGCACGTGAAGACCTGGAGTAAGCAGGGTTATCGATATCGCGAAGGAAGACTGTTCAGGCTTGGTAGCGCCAGGCGGTATCTTCGCAGGTGGGACGGGGATGTACGAGGTGATACGGTGATGTTTAGATTGCTTCTGTATCGAGTATTCTGGCAGCGGATTACTGTCGGCATGGATGCTGACCGCAAGCCCTAAGAAGGTCGGCATCTTGGTACAGGGTTGTGGGTGTTGTGAGGACGACTGTGAAGCTGCGGAGATGGCAGCGGAAGAGCCCTAACACAGTAGTCTTGGCAAGATTGTGAGGAAAGAAAATATCCCTGCGACAGAGCGGCTGCCGGAGGGGCAGCTGCGCGACTAAGTGGGCGAAGTTTTGGCTGGGAGGCGGTGTGAGGTAGCGACTACAAGTGTCTGTGTTGTTGGTTTAGGCGGAGAGCTTCCGTAGCGGGCGGTCCCACGAGGTGTTGGGGTCCACGGCGCAAGTCACGAGCCAATCACGCTTGCACCTGATTTCGATTGCCGTCTTCAAAGAGCCACCATATTTCACTTCATTATCAGCTCAAAGGAAACATGCTGCAACCATGTGTTTGGTCAGGGTATCGAATCAGGGGACGTGCCTGATGTCGATCAAGCGTGGGGTCGACATGACTAGCGGCATGGCGCGTGTGTGCTTCCTCGGGGCTGAGGGCGGAAGGTTGATTCACAGACATCACATATACAAGGGAATTCTAGGAAGCCGGTGGTCTTGCTCATGTACCTTGAGCGTGGAATTTTCATCGTCCATCTCGTTAGTAATAGTGGGGCATCGAGAACAGTAGTTGAGGTCTGATTCTTTCATCACCGCTCTTTGCTTGCCGGCGGCGTTGATGAGCTGGTCCGACTCCACTTCTTGTCTAGGGTATCATCTATAGTTCTATCACTTGCTTAGTCCTCCTCGTCCAGCGCAAACATGTCTTCTGCCTTGGGCCTCAGCCGGCGAGCTCTGGCAACAGCCGTCTCTCCAGGTATCTCAACTTCTTTGGGGTCGGCTGCTTTGGGTGGATTTGTCGGCGCGACGGATTCAGCTACAGACACCTCTGGAGTCGCTGTCGCAGACGTTTGTTCAGGCTCGACAGTCGCATCGTCCGCAGTCTCGTCGACGTCCATCGCCTGTTCAGCTTCTTCAGTCGCCTCAGAAGTCGGTATTTTACGGACCACGTTGCCTTTGCGTTTCCTCCTCTCTGCTAATCGTCTCGCCTCCTCCTCTTCTTGCTTTTGTTTCTCCCGCGCGTTGAAAGCCTCATCGAGATGTTTCAGTGTTGCATCGTCGAACAAATGCTCCTCCTCCCAGACTTTGAGTATAGTGTTGACTTCTTCCCGAAAGCTCCTCTCAGTCATGCGACCCATCTCGAGCTTGGCAGGGATTTGTTCGAGGTGTTCGAAGACCTTGCGATCCACAAGCTCCGTACCAATGGCTAGACGATACTTGTACGAGACTCCCGACTCTTTAGCCGTGACGAAGAGCACATCAGAGATGATGCGCAGAGCGTTCAGCGTAACCTGCCGAAGATCAGGACGCCGAAGATCGTCTTTGCCTTCCGCATCGCTTGCACGGTTCCTCGTGTTTGCATCAGTGAGCTGGAAAGGCTGTATGATATTGGACACCAGTATGCTAGTGACCTCATCCATGCCTTGACCGGCATGTTCAACAGCAAAGTTCGATATAGCAGCGATATCATCAGCAACGATGCTACCAGGAGGAACAGTGGTGAGCATCCATAGAAGCATTGCTCGTGACCTAGGGTCCATAATGCCATGACCGTTGTCGACTCGTCCAGGATAGTTGTCGCCAACTGGCAGAGGCTTGTACTGCGGCTTCTCCTTCTCTTCCTCATCGTCGCTATCCAAGCTCTCGTCGTCGGACTCAAAAGCTCCCAGATGGTCGGCAAACTCGTGGGGAAGTGGATCCTGCGGGCCTCGCCAATCGCCATGCCGCTGAAAGATCTCGGGATTGGGACTATCGCAGACGATCTGATGTAAGCGCCAACGATAATACCGGTTGACCGGGTGCTTCTGGTCATATAGCCAAGCGAATCGTTCCTCGTCTTGGACTTGCGGGTCGTTCATCAAGGCAGCTTCAAATTCCACGCCCCCAAGTATGACTCCTTCTATAGTCTGATGCACCAGTTTGAGTGTAGCGACATCGGGAGGCCGGTTTGCGGTGATGATGAGCTGTTCAGTATCCTCGCGCGGCCTGTCTCTGCCACCTCCACCTCCCCCGCCGAGATCTGGCGGAGGTGCAAAGCCCTTGGGTAGTTCAGGCGCCTGCCACCGCGCACCAAATGCCTCCGTCCGCTGCGCAGTTTCCACTGAACGACCGCCCAGGTACCTGTCCAAATGTAGATAATAGCCCTTGCCCAAGTACTTCTTATCGTTAAGCTTGTTCATTGCATCATCAAGGTCTCGCGCGCTGGCATCTTTGTCGAAAATGACCTTCATCGTCGCCGATGGTCTGCCCTTTGGCGATGGGCCTTGCGGTGGTATCTTCTCGACACGGGTGATTTTGAGCGACGTAAAGTCGGCGAAGAGCTCTTCTACGCGACGCGTATCTATTGAGGGTGGGAGGTTCGAGGCTTTCGCTACGACGGTCGTGTAAACGTTTTCTGGCTGCTTGAGGCCCTCGAGTGACGCGGGACCTGAGGGTGCATTTGCTCCGAATCGTGGCTGCATCTGTGGTGCAAGACGCCCCGGCGCTGCACCGGGTCTTGGATAATCATCGAGAGGTTCGGTTTCGAGGGTGCCAGGACCGCTCTTCATCGTTCGCTGTCTGCCTGTAAAGTGTCTCTTACTCCCTGTTGGCACAAAGACATCTTCCTCTTCCTGCTTCTCGGGCTCCCCCAGTATGCTTCTCTCTGCGCCATGCTCCGCCTCGAAATCAGCCATGACCTTGTCGAGCGCATTCTTCTCCTCGCGCTGTTTCGCTTCCTCTTCTTCCTTGGCTTTCGCATTCAGTTGTGCCTTGGTGGCCTTTGCGGTGCCTAAAGAGAACTTGAAAGCCATGTTAGCGAATGACTAAAGTATGGTCGTGCTGAATTATTCCATAAGGTGAAGTTGAGGTTGAGGTTTCGAGTGTCAACATTGGAAAGTTAAGCTTGCGCGTGAGGGTCCAGACTAGCGTCAAGTCCAGGGCTTCCACACGGCCTCGGGATCCCGAACAACGTCATTTCATCTTGACAGCACCAAACTCGGGCAATTACCATGACCTCAGCACAAGACGTTCAGATTCTCCTCCGCTTTCTATCGCAAGACGCTAAGATACCTCTCGCCCAAGCCCTATCTAAGATCAAAGACTTGCAAGCGGCGAGCCTCAACACGTAAGCACGTGATAGCGTACAACCGCGTCACCCACTGTGCTAATGTGCGCGTAGTCCATCAGATCTCTCCAATTCATCCCATGAAAACCTAAAGTCCATATTCGAGGACGAGAAGATCGCGCGCCAGGTGCTCAATGCTGCAAAACGACAATCTAAAAAGCGGTCCGCAGACACTTCCTCAGCTGCATCTGCGCCTACAGCAAAAAGAGCGAAACCAACATATGGACAACCCCTCAATGGCGCGGATCTCGAGGCTTCTCTAGCACTCCCGGAGCCAGAACTAGATGAGAAGAAAGTCAGTTCAGCTGTCGTCTACACGAACCGTGCGCCACTCGTTCTTGCCTTTGCGGTAACACTACTCAAGTTTACAATGCCTGGCCAGCCAATATCCAGTCGCCTCAGTCTAGCACAAGCGGTTACTTCTATGAATAGCAAATCAAAAGCCGTGCACATCGGGATTGACAAGGACCAGCCTGCTGAAGAGGAGGGCTGGGGAGAAGGACAGCCGTTGCTGCGGATCATGACGAGAGAGGTCAGGGTAATGAAGAGGTGGGGCTATGAGTGGGAAAGCAGCGACAGTATGACACAGCAAAAGATCAAGTCTGAGCCGGACATTTCAAATGGTGAGAAAGAGCAAAACATAGAGAAGAAAGATGAGGTGGAGAAGGAAAGGGAGATTGCACTTTGGGGTGTGGATCTTGAAGCACTCAAGAAGGCGCAAATCTCCAGAAATGGATCGAGCGATTTGCCTATATATCCCGCGCAAAGTGCAAGGTCATATCTGATGAAAGCGTTCGAGACACCTGCCGCGGATGTAATCAAGACGGAAGATGTTGATGTTAAGATAGAGGGACAGGCAGCGCCGAAGCCAAAGGGCAAGCGAACAGCTGCTGTCATTGCAGCAGAGAAAGAGCACAATCTTAGTCTTCTGCTAGGCGCGCTAGAACTACTCTATGAATCATGGGCAAAAGTACTCGATAAGGATGACCTAGATAGGCGGGCTTGGGGCTGGTATGTCCGCGTTCGACCGGAGGTAGCTCAAGGCGCTGCAGGATGGGGCGGAAAGGGCAATGTGAAACTATCAGATATCCTGGCCTTGAGGAGGCTTCCGAGCTAGCAACGAGAAGAGACAAGTCTAATTCGCGATGAAGGAATCCATCATTCATGATATCCAAGATCAGTCTACAGCTTGAACTCGGCGTTACTTAGCTCCCAGCCCACTCCACCACCTTCTCTCCTCCCAGCCAGTCTCTCAGCCAAGCCAAGCTTCTTGTCCCTGTTTCTCTCTGTACACAACTCATACACTGTGCTCAGGTTCAATACCAACGAATGGAACGGCGGGCTGTCATCCACAAGCTCACTAAGGATACCCTTAGCGTCCGAAATACGACCCGTGTAGAGTAAGCACACGGCCAAATTCTGCGCTACCATGCCATCTTCAGGATGTTGCTCGTGCAGGGTCTTGAAAGACTCGGCAGCAGCTTCATAGTCCGAGTTGGCAAGTTGGATCAGAGCGTTTAGTGTGCCGTCTACGAGAGCATCTACAGAAGCAGCAGATGCGCGGGCTAGACAACGCCGTGCTGATTGCATATCACCAACCCTCAGCCAGACGAGTGTTTCCATGATGGATATCTCCCTTGTTTGTTCACCGTCTGCTGCAAGTGTTGCCAGGTGTCGTCCTGCGCCCTCAAGATCACCCATCTCTACCAGCACGTTGGCGACGCGGATACCGCAGTCTCGTAATCTCGACCGCCACATTGCCTTATCGTCGTCTGAGCTTGCCTTGAGGATGCTCTCCCTACACTCTCGTGCAAGCTCATAGTATCCCATTATGCCCTTTCGCCACTCTCCATAGCCCAGTGCTGCCAACCGAACGACGAGGAGGCGTAGATGCCAGGGTACGAGATGCGCGTTCGTGAGTGGGTGTCGGTAAAAGGCGCTATTCAAGTCACCCAAGACCTTGGATTCCTGAGCAGCCAGGGCATGCTCCTGCAATAGACAGAGACATGCCAGGCGGACATGTATCAGATGTAATAGTGTATCGTGGTCGCCTGCGGCAGCCGAGATGAGGTTGCGCGCGGCGGCGATGGCAGCCAGGCGATAGTGTCCTGATAGGAGAAGGGTGTCTATGGGCGAGGATATTGGCGGCGCGTGCGGCGCATTGAGGAAGGGGGCCGGTACATTGTTCACGGGTAGGACGTGGTAGGCCTGGGGGTCTTGCAGAAAGCTGAAGTCCTTGTGGGGAATGTCGTCGATGCCGCGCGATGGGGCATCGTGGGACGGCTGCGGGGAAGCTCGAGGCCGCGCTGGCGACCGGATGCGCGCAGGCAGGCTGGGTGTGCTCTCAGCGAGAGGGCTGCATCATCTTGTAAGCGTGTTTCTTGGTGTCGTATTCCATGCCGGCTGAATACAAGGGGCGCATACTCGTCTACAACTATGTCATCGACGTCGAGCGGACCTTTTGTGCTGCGCCGAGGAAGGGCATCTGCCTCTGTTAGTCATGCCAACGTGGATGCGTGCAGCAGTCAACGCACTTCGTCGTCGCTCGTCGCCCGACACACTACGACTATGGCCTCCTCCGGGTGGAACCTGCATCGTGTCGATGGTCGCTGCTGCTTAGACGGCTGTCACCAGCGCTCCGATGTTCGGCAGTAGGCCATGTAATTGCGGGGATCGCCCAATCACGACCCCTGCCACCGGGGAGACGACTCCACTAACTTTTCATATGCGCCACGAACCTGGGCCAGAGGAAGAGTCAAAGGCGAACGGCCAATTGACTCAAAACCGTCCGTCAGCTTGCCTCCCACTCTTCTCTCCCACGTCTTGCTTTTCCCGTCTCTGCTGCTGCTGCTCTCCCCTCCGTGTATAGTAATATCCCGTCCCCCAGTGGACGCCCATCCCCGTCATGCAGCAGTCACGCACACGAGCTGTAAATGCTCTCAAGGGCAACCGCAACTTTTCCACCACAGCACAAAGATTCGCTGTCTCGCCCTTCCGCAGGCCTGCACAGGCTGTCTCGAGCAAAATCACCCAAGAAGATGCGAAGCGACCTCAGAGTACCCAGGCGGCCGCTGCCACACAAACAGCGTCGCGGTCAAGACCGTCGCCCGCCTTCAATCGCGAGGACTACAAGGATGTCCAGCCATTGAAGCAGTACCGTTCGCCTGCAATGGACCACTCTTTTGTTGGCATGACTGGTGGAGAGATCTTCCACGAGATGATGCTCCGCCAGGGCGTCAAGCACATCTGTACGCCATTTTGCACTGAAGATACCAATCGTGGATTTTAGACTAACACCCACCAGTTGGATACCCCGGTGGTGCCATTCTCCCCGTCTTCGATGCGATTTACCAGTCAAAACACTTCGACTTTATCCTTCCGCGACATGAACAGGGTGCCGGCCACATGGCAGAGGGTTACGCCCGCGCAAGTGGAAAGCCCGGTGTTGTGCTCGTTACTTCTGGACCCGGTGCCACCAACGTCGTCACACCCATGCAGGATGCGCTGATGGATGGAACACCTCTGGTTGTTTTCTGCGGTCAGGTCGTTACCAGCGCAATTGGATCCGATGCTTTCCAGGAAGCTGACATGGTCGGCATCACAAGGCCTTGCACAAAGTGGAACGTTCTCGTCAAGAATGTTGCTGAACTCCCGCGGAGAATCAACGAGGCTTTCGAGATTGCCACAAGTGGACGACCGGGACCCGTTCTCGTTGACCTGCCCAAGGATGTTACCGCCAGTGTCCTCCAAAGAGCGATTCCCATGAGCAGCACCCTGCCCACACCTGTCAGTGCCGCGACCATTGCTGCGCGCGAGCTCAGCAAGCAACAGCTTGAAAACTCCATCCGACGATCTGCCGACCTGATTAACATGGCGAAGAAGCCCGTCATCTACGCCGGACAGGGTATCCTCCAAACTGAGGACGGACCAGCGCTTCTTAAGGAGCTCGCTGACAAGGTCAACATTCCCGTTACCACTACCCTGCAAGGTCTTGGAGGATACGACGAGCTGGACCCCAAGTCTCTCCACATGCTCGGTATGCACGGCTCGGCCTATGCCAACATGGCCATGCAGGAGGCCGATTTGATTCTCGCCCTCGGCGCTCGTTTCGATGACCGTATCACTGGTGCCATCTCCAAGTTCGCACCTGCGGCAAAGGCGGCTGCGGCTGAGGGTCGTGGAGGTATCATTCACTTCGAGATTATGCCCAAGAACATCAACAAGGTCGTACAGGCAACTGAGGCCGTTGAGGGTGATCTCGGCACCAACCTAAAGCAGCTCTTGCCCCTCGTTAACCAAGTTCCTGAGAGACCGGAGTGGCTGGGACAAATCGCCGCCTGGAAGGAGCGTTTCCCGTGGGCCTATGAGAAGGAGGGCGAGAACGGCCTGATCAAGCCACAGACCGTCATGGAGAAGCTCTCTGACCTCACGGCGAACCGCAAGGAAGAGACCATTCTCACAACTGGTGTTGGCCAGCATCAGATGTGGTGCGCCCAGCACTACCGATGGAGATATCCCCGTACCATGATTACATCTGGTGGTCTCGGGACCATGGGCTACGGTCTGCCTGCCGCCATCGGTGCCAAGGTCGCGCGACCTGACTGCACCGTCATTGACATTGACGGTGACTCCTCCTTCAGCATGACCTTGACCGAGCTCTCAACGGCTGCCGAGTTCAACATTGGCGTCAAGGTCATCATTCTCAACAACGAGGAGCAGGGTATGGTTACCCAATGGCAAACTCTCTTCTACACCGACCGATTCGCGCATACTCACCAGCGCAACGCCGATTTCGTCAAGCTCGGTGACGCCATGGGTGTCCAGGCTAAGCGATGCATCAAGCCCGAGGAGCTTGAGGACTCGCTGAAGTGGCTCCTCGAGAGCGATGGTCCGGCTCTGCTGGAGATCGTCACTGACCAGAAGGTACCTGTGTTGCCCATGGTGCCCGCAGGAAGTGGTCTACACGAGTTTATGATTTACGACGAGAGTAAGTTTATAGTTTGTGTGAAACGACGACCTATACTAATGTCGAATAGAAACCATCAAGGACCGAAGAAAGCAAACCAAGGAGCGATCCGGTCGTTAAAGCCATGACTGGTGTAGATGTTTGATTCACGTGTAACTTCATTCGTTGTGTATATTCTTGGGTCGGCACTGGCGTTTTACTCCTTTTTGTTTAGCATATCCTTCTAGGCAGTCAGTGCATATGATTTGGTTTTTCTCTCTTTGGAAAAGTCGGTAAATCAAAAGCGAGATATCAGTCTTATATTTTAGTAAGAGTTGGGGACGGGAGAAGACGAATGATACATGGAGGTGAAGAGCTATTATCGCCATCGCAAGTCGAAATCGAGTATGTAGAGTGGGGCGTGTGCATCATTGACCGTGGTACGTACGAATTTGAGAAGAACATTGATTTGATGGTTTTGCAACATGATCTCCTGTGGTTGGTCACTCTCGCTACCCGGATTTTCTCCAATGATTGCAATTTTATATTCTCTGATTCACGGTCGTCGTTTCTATGTATATTGACTTGCACTCGCTTTCCATGGATTTGGGCTATCGCAGAACCACACTGTGCGGCAACGATGGAAGAACCACGATTTAACGTGAATAAGAGGAAACATTTCAAGCTCGTTTTGCACTTCACTTTAGTTTCAGCTACCTACCAGGCGAACCAATTCTACGTCGGCTGATCGGATTTCGGTATCTGGCAAGCCTACACGGAATCACCCATAGAAGGCCCTCGGCTTCGTATCTTTTGGTTTAATAAACCACATCATCCTAGACACGTATGAGTATCTTCTCACGATGAACTCTTCGGCTACATCGAAATGCTGGAAAAGACGAAACACCTCACTCTTTTCCTCCCCTACGACGACAGACGGAGACATCAGCAGGAGAAATATCTCCAGATCCGATACGCCTATGCTGTCACCGTTAACGTCCCCTTCGGCGCGATCTTTATCGTCGTCAGCTACACCATCAGGCACGACATACCTTATGGATCCTGGCGTAGAGTCAGCAACCAGGTCCCACTTCCGCCGCCGCCATAACACTTCTCCCCTATGCTCCTCATTAGATAGCGACATCATAAACCAGGACCACAGTGTTGCAGTCGATCCCGCCGTATGCACATCACTTCTTCGAAGGTCACCGAGGGTTTCCCCTAGACGTTCACCACCATCACGTCGTACCACAAACGTTATTAACCCCTTTACGAATACAACGCTTCCATTTCAATGTCATCAGGACCGAGAGACTTGCACCTCCACCAGCCGCGGTATCGATCAGCCTTCATCATCTGAATCTGACATCTACTACCCAGGACAGTCATTGCCGGTGTCTTTCTCTTCATCAGAGACATTACTTGATGAACCTCGTTCTTCATTCGACTCTACCGAAGTCGAGGTGCTAAGTACACCTTTCCTACCTAGGGCTATTAAGGAAGGAGAAAGATCAACTGAGACGCGGAAGCCACCGGTTATCACCATTATTGAAGAAGGAAGAGAATGGTGGGGGTTCAAGGACGAGGGTATGCGGAGGGCGGCGACGGCACTGGGCGTTGATTTTCCCGCGGGATGTTGTGAGGCTGCATATGGGGGTATAGAAGAACAAAACGCTAGGGAAGAGCATGGCATGGCGTTTTGGCATAGAAATGGGAGGATAGAAAGGCACGCCGCTAGCGAGGATGATGAGGGTGAGAAGATAGATGGCGAGACAGAAGTTGGTCTTAAGAGAGCGATCTGGAAGACGAAGAGAGCGACTTTAGGGAGAGTTCTTCGGCGCTTGCATTGTGGCAAACTGTGATGGTCGCTAGATGACTTTGTACATCACCAACGATCAGAACCATAAGTTACCATTTCGGGATCATCCCATCTCAGCAACATAAATCTCACATCCAACGGTGTGAAAGGTTGTGTGACGAGAAGCAGGAAGAGGAAGAGGGGGATGAGAGTCAGACCATGGCAAGAGATCTAACAGAAGCCTGAGTTAAACGACAGGGTATCAAATGGCATTATTCTCACACTCCTAGGCCGAACTCAATTTCATCGTCATTTCGCTATCTAGGCTTTCTTTCTCTAAGTCATTGCTTCCTCTCTCTAACCCAACCCTGGTGTATGTTCGAGCCAGCTTCATTGCTATTGAGTTCGTATGAATTTCTTGATACAGTCTGTTCAAGCTGTTCGACAGCACCTGTAAGACGGTTAAGGTTCTAGTAAATTCGTGTTCAGAACTCCAGTAGAACAAGGTAGGTTCGATCATCGTGGAGCGAGGTGGGCGAGACTGGGTCGAATCACAGTGTCTTGAACATGTTTGGCGATATGAAGGTTGATAGTAGAGCGAGAAGTACGCTCAACATCTACTGCAATGTCAGCAACGAACATATCATGGAAACATGCAGTTTAAAACGAACCTTGGACTTCATGCTGAAGATTGAGATGTTTGCGCCCAAGCAGGTGCCATACGAGAACAAGGGAGGGAGGACAAGTTGCGACGAGAGTGACTATGGCGATGATAGATCCATCAGACATAGTGCTCATGGTATAACACTATTCGGGCCAGAAACTTGTGTTCCGGTAGTTCAGACTTTGTGAGATACTGTAATGAATCGATCTGAATTGGCATATGCTTGGTAAATTTAACCCTCTGCTTATGGAAGAAAAGATTTAAGAAATCGTGGTCGAGGACTCCTACATATGACATGCCACCTTGGCCTCGTCAGATAGCCACAATGCCCATCCGCCCCGACGCAGTCCCCTGGCAAGACGCATTCCACTGTCCCGACGCAGTCCCCTGTCTCAACGCAGTCCCCTGTCCCACTATGCACCCAATAGCTGCTTCCGCGACCTCGCTTGTTAGACTGACAGGCTGTGCATCTTGCCCATAACGCCCACGATTACTCTGGGAAGCTATGCCCGGAACCTGCTTAGCCATAAAAGTTGTCAAGTTGTCTGGGTCGCGTGCACTGGCTCTGAACATGTCCCCTCAGCTTTGGTGATGATGCTATTCGAGACAGGGATATTGTAGCAACAGCACAGTGGTTGACATACTGAAGGGCAAAGGCTCGATTATCTCTGATGTATACTTAGTCGTTACTTTGATTATCTAATGTCGTCTTGCTGATACCGGGTGCGATAGGCAGTTTTAGGCTTCCGGCAAAACGAGAGCCCGATAATCAACGAGATCACTCAGAGCTGTTCAATTCAATGGTCAAGTCAACCTCGGGGCTACCATGACGCTTTCTGCAACGGATAGAAAATCATCATTTAGACTGCGCTTCCGGAAGTAGCAGAGATCTCTTCTATAGATGGTAGTAAGACTCGTGATCCTCAGTGCCGAAATCGATAGACACAATTAATTCCATCCTGGATTCAGATCTTGCCTCGTTGGTGGTGTTGCAACAACGGGTGGGCCGCCACTTCGCGTCTTCTTCACCGGTGCAACATGCATTCGGCCTTGCAGAGCCCAGTTTCCCAGCTCTGAAGTCCAGGTTTTGCTGATTGGGCGATGGTATGCGGGTTCTCAAAACGGTATGGGGCGGGTTGCTTAGCATTCCAGGTTTTATTCGATTGGCTGATCTGAAGCAAGGCTGAAGTATATCATTCTCTTCGTGACGGTGCCTACCCTTTTCTTTCCATACTTCAATCGAGTCTTCCATCTTGTTTGCCACCCTAATACAGTGATGTATTGCTCATCATGCCTCAACAAAACAAAAGGTACGCAACGCGAATCCCTCGTAGTGTATGGAAGCAGCACAGCGAGACGATAGAAACGCTGTTTCTCTGCGAAGATAAAACCCTCAGTATTGTCATGGGCACAATGAAACGTCGTGGGTTCTATGCGAGGTCAGTGGCTCCTTGATAGAACTCTCTCTGCACAGCACGTATCTCAGTTGACGCATATACAGTGAATCTCAGTACGGGCGCCAACTCAAGATATGGGATATACGAAAGAACTGGAAGAAGGGGGACCGGTCTCAAACAACCCGTTTCTTTGAGAAGATAGATGATATGAGAGAAGTGATAGCATTATGGATTGATACCTTGGGAAAGCTAGAAGACCATATTGCATTAGTTTTTCAGTTTTGGCCAGGGGCAGGTAAGTTAATGGTATCGCAAGTATAAACGTGCGCTAGTTGCACTCTGGAAATTTTACACGAACTTGCTGACTGTCTCAAGAACTCGAGGGCATTGTATCTGAAGACTTGTCGAATCTTGTTCGAAAGCTATCAGAAGTTTCGGAACTTTACAACTTCTACGTCAGGCACGTCAAGAACATGCTAAAGGAACGCAATTTGCCTGTCATCCCACCTAAGTGGAGGCATTTCTTATGGGTTTGCTTCCATGAGCTTCAAATGAGATGCATGAGGCTTGAGCCCACCTTAGAAGGTGTGCTCTATTTTGTGACAGCAGATTGCGAGCTGATCAGTACTGTAGGTCTCTTGGAGATGACTGGTGAGGTGATTTCCATCGAGAGGTGTATCTTGGAGCTTTCGAAGCGCAATATAAATATAGAAGATTACCTCTCAACAGATGGAATTGCAAACCCATACATATCAGATCCGGATCTCTGTCGCCACACACAATGCGACAGAGAAGAGTTGTCTTCCTCTCCAATGCAAACATGGGATACTCGCATGTGGGAGTCGATGGGTGTTACATGCGAGGAATGGATCACTAGAGGATGGGACATCTTTTTTTTGGGAGTTGGGGATAACTTGGAGGATGATCGGATGAGCGCGTTCATTGGATCGGGTTCGTGTACGTTGCTTGAATGAGAGAACGGACAGACATTGTGTTAGTGTATCCGTGCAAGCGCGCGGAAAAGGCCCGCTATGACATGTGAACTTCTCCCACGTCGTCTCCACATTAACTTACAACATCCAAACCTCAACTATGCCGCGACGCAGTTGGACGCCCGAAGAATCTAAAGCGCAATTATCATCGCATGGCGACTCACGATCCCACGAAGCGCGCACGCATAAGAAACACCACCGATCGCATCGCTCGCGCTCTCCCCGTCGCGACGATGACGGCCACCGACACAAACGACACCGTTCGCGCTCACCACGTGCGCCAAAACCCCTAGCTTTACCTTATAAAGCGAAGCCGCTATCGAAGCGACAGTACGATGAGTACAGACCGCTGTTCCAGTCTTATCTGGACATACAAAAGCAGATACAACTCGATGATCTAGATGAGCGGGAGATCAAGGGACGATGGAAGAGTTTCGTCAGTCGCTGGTATGCGCCCACATCCTCCTACGCTTTAAACAAACAGACCAGCCAATACTAACATTTCAGGAACCGTGGAGACCTAGCACGAAGCTGGTATGACCCATCCATGCTGAAAACAGCCCAAGAAACCGTACAATCCTACCGCGCATCCTCCCCTCGCGCTCCTGCGAAACGAGCCTCACCAACCTATACATCAAAAGAGGAGGCGACATCAGACCAAAGCGACGATGACTTTGGCCCAGCACCACCCACAAACCTACAACGGCACCAAGGCCACGGCCCGACAATCCCCAAACTAGACGACCTGACCTACCGCAACGAGCTACGCGCCGAGGATCGCGAGAAAGGCCAGATGGACTACGTAGACGACATCCGTCACGCGCGCAAAAACGACCGCAAATCGCAGAAGGAGGCCTTGGAAGACCTCGTCCCGCGCGCCGACCCAGGCTCCCGCGAACGCCAGCTAGAGAAGAAGCGCGAAACAACGTCCACGCTGAACTCCTTCCGCGAAGCCAAAGAGGCTGGGGAACTAGAGGTGCCAGAGTCGGATCTAATGGGCGATGACGGCATAGACATGTATAAGAAGAAGAAAAAGGAGCAGGAGAGGCAGAAGAATGAGAGGGAGATACGGAGGGAGGAGATTGCAAGGGCGAGAGAGGCGGAGAGGAATGAGAGATTGGCGGAAAGAAGGGAGAAGGAGGGCAAGACCATGGACTTCTTAAGACAGATTGCTGCAGAGAGATTTGGGTAGGTGGAGGGTTCGGTTATGATACTGGGTAGGATAGCGCTGTCACGATTGAGTAGGCAGTGAACACTTCTTGGATGCAGCGTATAGGTTCATAGTTGACCTGACTGATGCCAGTCCTGCGTGATTGAGTGTAATATACAGATATCAGAACCTCCAAATGAGTTTGTGCTTGCGAGACGCTAGTAGCCTTGGTGCCATCATCATATTCAACCCATATACTCCTAGATTCCGTTCTTATGCTCCAAAATTCATACATCCTCACGATGCCGCCGCAGCACTACCTCTGCCCTTCTTTCTGTCATGATTCACGATGCCTCTCTTCCGATGATTCTGCGCCGTCTTCCACCTAACGTACAGCATGATGAAGTCCTTGAGACCCACAAACATACAGCCACCAACAACACTTCTTCCCCAACGCGTCTGGAGGAAGCCTGTTGGCTTGCCCACCCCGCCTACCTTGCCACCGGTGTTAATCCAGCCGCCGAGCCAGGACATTGCTGGCGCGCCAGTCGGAGGTGTGACCCACGAGCTAGGCAGGGTATGCTTGAGCAATTCACCCATTGCAGCGGCTATGGTGGGGAAGATAAGGGCACCGAGGATGGTGTCAGCGAGGGATGTGGTGGAGAAAGTGACGCCGCGTTCGCGTCGAACACGTCGAGGTCGTGGGGCAGCGGGCTGCATGGGAATGTTGGGCGCAGGTGCTACATCTGGTTGAGCATCGTCGATAAACTGAGCAGCCCGTATGTCGGCCTCGTCTTGGTCGTCTTGTGGAGGCGCGTCGATTGGTCCTGCTGGGGCTCGTGCAGCTTGTACAGGAGGATCCTCAGGCGCGTCATCGTCATGGACTTCGCCATCGTTGTTCCAATCTGCAAAGATGTCCAAGTCGAGTTCAATCTCCACCTCTTCTACCACGTCCTCATCGCCCAAATGGTCGTGGTCGTGGTCGTGATCGTGTTGGGCTTGTGCCTGTACATCTGCGGTTGTGTCTTCGCCAGCTCGCGGCTGGATCTCCTTCAACCACTGCTGCTCTCGTGGTAACCAGACTCGTTCGTAGTATGCGTTATAGAAACCTCGGAGGTATGGTAGCGCGGCGAAGGTGAAAGCGGCGCTCGGTGGCCACTGCAGCTGTAGCATATCATCGCCTGGCTGCCCGGAGCTGACGAAGAAGATGAGAGGGAGGAACGGTAGGAATGAGTCGGCGAAGGTTGTTCGGCTTGCGACTAGAACCGTCGGTATCAGGGGCAGTCCAAGATCCAGCCTCCAGTGATGCCTCAGATGTTCGAGCCACTGCATTGTGACCGAGTTGACCGCGCGGTTTGGCGTCTCGTAAAGCGGCCCAAGGATTTGCAGCGCATCCTGCGTACCGAATATCTGGTATATAGTCGCAGTCCCAGAAAGCGTCAAAGTCGAATAGAGCGCTGTGCCTGTGACGAGTGCGAAGCCAGGGAGCAGCAGGCTACCAGTGAGGCGCTCGACACTCCGAACAACGTCCACCACGTAGCTTCTCGGCCGTTGTACCCTGATCTCGCTCTTGCATTGGGGGCACAATATCTTCCCTGCCGACTTACCAGCTTGCCGTCGTGAGCTTGGCGCTTCCATGTCGGCTATCCAGTCTAACAGGCACTTCTCGTGCGCCACCAGTGAGCATGCGCAAGGCGACCGCCACTCCGATGTTGTCTCGTCATCTTCCGTCTCGTCATTGAAGCAGATCCAGCACCTCCGTGGTTCATCATCCTCTTCTTGTTGTGGCGCGGTGGTTTGCGCACGTGTCTCTTCCTGCTCCTGAGGCGCGGAAGTGGTTGACTGTGTAGACGGTGTGTTGAGTAGTAGCGTTTGCGAGTCTACTGACTGGCCAGAGAAGCTGCTCGATCGCTCCATTTGCTCTTGCTGCGAGGACGACGATTCGGCAGGTGGTGCGGGTCTATGTCGCGACGCGGGGCGCTGAGACGGGAGAGACGCCATGACGGCTGATTGTCTATTAATGGACGTGGGGATTTTGGTGGGCGGTGGTATGGCTGAACAAAAATGGACTAGTTTGACAGCCCAGACATTTGGTCCAGGACAGCAGGTGCTGCTAGAATTGTCGCAAAAAAGTGTACAGATGTTTCAACGTCGGACTGCGGCTCGGTGTTTGTTGATTGGAGTTGCCGAAGATCTACAAGACGTCACCAACACCCTGACACCTGTAGCGCGCCAAGACCATGCACGTGCGCATCAACTTCATCTGATTCATGTACGTCCACGCTTCCCACTACATGTACAGGATGTAAGGTCCCTATTACTCTCCCCATATCTCATGGACATGCTGAGCAGTCGCAAATTTTTGAAGCACGATGCTGTACTGAACCAAAAGCAGAAACCAAACATCCACCAATCCATCATGGCCAAAGCCTTCTCAATCTCGTTCATTCCGAAAGCCTTCCAAAGTGACCCAGCTTCTCGTTCCTTCGTCTCATTCGCTCCTCCTTATTACGCGGTTTGTGACGCTTACGAACAGCCTGAGTAGGCTTTCCCTAGAACTGTTAGTGGTCAACAAAGTGTCATCAGTCGAAACACCAGCACAACTTACAAGAGAGAAATCAGTCATCTCGCCAGACCCCGAAACTGGGCCCCATCGAGGATCTGGTACCCCATTCGTAGTTGATGTGGAAACCATGTAATGAAACCTGTTACCGTAATCTGGTCCTGGTAGTACTCGTGGATGTGGTCGTGGAGTAACGGGAGGTGTAGCAGCATGACCCGGCGGGTTGCTCACAACAAATTCACGCCTGACAGCTTGACGAAAGTGATCCGGGTACTGTGGGCGTGGGACGTCGAACGCGGGCTGGCTGGAATCGCGCTGAGGCTGACGATGGGCCATCCGGTGCTCGAGTGTCGCGAGCTGCCGATTGACAAGATTCTGGTGCTCGATAGTGTTGGGAGAGTCGCCAAATGACGATTCTTGGAGTATCGTTTGGCTTGGCTCTGGTCCAGGGGATACGCTCTCATAAGAAACCTCATATACCTTTGCAACGATCTCAACAAAAGATCCACTGAGACAAGAAGAATTGCAAGTCAAAAAAAAATTTATTTACGTACCTTGGTCATCTCGTGTGGCGGCTCATGTGGAGAACACGTCTCATACGCCTCTTCCATTGTTGGCAGCCCCTGGGAGAGTGGAGCGGGCGACTTGCCGTTGGTGGTTGTAGTGCTTGGGCGAATAGGCGGTGGGAAGATTGGATCCAGACGCCAGTGTGAGGTGACGCTGTCGCAGTCCGAGAGACTTGCGAAGCTATGGGCGTAGCGGCCGTCATCTTGATCATCCTCCTGCACTTTAGTCCTCCCTGTACCCTCCACGCCACCTTGCTCACAGACTTTAACCCAACCCTTCCCCTCCACGTACTCAATCTCAAAATGGGGAATGGGAGGATAGTACTGTACCGGAACGATATCAGGATCCACCTGATCGCCATCCTTGGTCAAACACTCTGAGCAGTCCAAGCGGCTCTCTTCAAGTAGATACTTCTGATGTGCCTCAAAGGTTCCGGGACATTCGGTGTGTGCGCAGTGGTACTGACAAAGGAAGTGCTCTCGTGGGCCGTCGTAGTGGGATATGAAGAACATGATACACATGGTGGCGTTTGGCTATGGACGTTGAACAAGCAAGTGTAATGGGAGACCACCGACGTAGATTGTGTGCGGCCAATGGTGGTTGCGAGATGAACAAACTCGAATATCAACAAGAGGAATAATTCGAAATCAGAATTGGAAAGGTAAGTGACCGTGGCAACGAGGATAAAAGTTGCACAGACCAGCCGCGCGGCGCAATCCTGTTCATAGCAAACGAAGAGATGGAAGTGACCGCGAGTTGTTGTCCTTCCTATGGTCAGATGACCGAATCTCAAGAACTTCTGACACAATTGGTAAAGTCTGAATTCTGGTGGAAAGCATACGATATGATTGATACCGATGGAACATGAAAGCATGAAAATGAGATGAAAAGAATTGTGGGAAAGACTTTGTAGAAGGTGTTGGAATATTGAAGTGAAGCACTGATTCTATGGACGATTTGGTTATATAGGCAGCACACTAGTGGGTGTGGAAGGTACCAATAACAACAAATGAGATGGCTCCTTCTCATCAGTAGGCAGTATGCAAGCCCTCATCGTCTTACCATCCTTCGATCTTGAAATCATATTTCCTGTCTCCTTTTCCTGTTTCAATCGGTTTCGCATCACCATCATACAACGTTCTCTCAAAATAAGTCACCTTCCCTTCTCGATCACACAACACTATGATATTTTTCTGGGTACCGTAGCACCCACTTGTAGCATCCAGCGCTTTCGCTTTGACCACGTCGCCCACCTCATGCGCAGGCATCTTGTGCTCTTCAAGATGGTCTCTTCCAATGGCTGGAACAAATATGCTGTAACGCAGTTGGTTGAGGTACATGTCCCACTCCTCATTCTCTTTCTGTCGGGGCATGGTGTCTGTGGTCAGAATATCGAGAAGACGGTTGATGAGCTGATCCTGGGACTCGTTGGCAGCGACAGACTTGGCAATGGCAGCACGCGTCCAGTCCTCTCCATTGATCACTTTGGGCCAGGTGCGGTCGTTGTAGGCGGCATTGCTGAGAGCCCGAGTTTCATCTGGCTTTTGCAGGAGATGAATTACGCCATGAACATCGGGAGTGCGGTTGCTCACGATCGCAAGACCTTTCTCTCCCTCTTTGACAACATCTTGAATGAATCCATAGCACAGAGAGAACCCACCAACACCCTCGACACCATCTTCTTCTATCATTCGTTTTGCGAACTGTTCTGTACTCTCCCCCTTCGCTGGGTTGGACTTTAACCAAGCGTTTGGAATGAGCCCTCTACTTCGCGCGCCTTCTACGATTTTTTCGTCTTCTTCACGGTAGTTGGTCAAGACTGCAATTCGACCTTGACGGGTCACACCCAGCCAGGTGCCATGAACGGGACGGTGAAGATCGTAGCCGCCCAAGACTTGGGTGTCTGGAGATGGCCACCATGTTGCCTCTGCTGTTGGACGATGTAGATACTCCTAGTATGCGTTAGTTGTAGGAGTTAATGCTTGTAGACCACAATGCGTACGTCTCGGTTGTTGAGTAATATGAATGGATAGTCCGGATGGGCTGTTGTGAGAATGGCGATGCACATTTTGATGTTGTTACGGCTAAGTCGTAGACAAGTCTATGTGAGGGAAAGAAGATACTGCGATGTATTGTTTTGTGGCGTTCAATAACTCGGAAAATGACGGACCAAGCAGATTATTTACCGAAGTGCAGTATGAGCGGTGTGAATGAGTGCCAACAGGTGCTTCAACGCTCAGTCATATACGTGGTTCCAACCGTACAGGACGTGGAGTGAGGTGGGACGACACATGGCGAGATGAAGGTTGCGACCGAGGCGTTCTGATGTCCCTGTGATGTAGCAAGGTGCGACCTCGGGTCAACAACGGAGAAGGCAGTGTCTACTTTGTTCATCACTGTTTCGACGCGCAGACACTGCGCAATCTCTAAATTGCAACGTGCCAGAGAGCTGTGTGAGCCCCCCATTTTCTAGACACATGGCACGACATGACTGTTCCTGCAGCGGAGTAACCTCACGGAGGTGTCCGAAAACGTCGTCTCACGTGCCGACGGAACCCCGGCCCCAATGTCGAGCTAGGATCCCTGCCCAACGTCACAGCCCCGGTTGCACTTTCCTCTGCGTCAGCCCTATTTCCTCCACCAAACCTTCAATACCTCAGGAAATAGACCGGCAAGCTCCCGGTGTATAGCATACGGCACCTGTCAACGACCGAAACCATAATGGCAGCCAATTTCGCCCCGTATCAAGACATACCCGAATCGTCACGCGCGCTCTCCCCACCGCCAGTCCATTCGCCGAGGACATCTATTGACCGCACACGGAATATCATATCGCCTCCCACACGCGCATACGAGCAACATGACTACTTCCAGGGCCAGTCACCTGTCTCCCCACCCGCAGAACCAGATACCGAGCGCATAGCATGGGACCAGCCGTCTCGGAGCACAGGCTTCGGCCGCTCCCGCGAGGATGTGGATATGTTCACCACGTCTCTGGGCTGGAGACTGGACTACGAGGCTTGTCTGGCATACCTCCTGCTTCCACCAGCAGGTGGGGTGTTGCTACTGGTCTTGGAGCACCAAAGTGACTATGTGCGGTTCCACGCATGGCAGAGCAGTCTGCTATTCGCCTTCGTCTTTGTGGTGCACATCATATTCAGCTGGTCGAGTTTCATATCCTGGGTCCTGTTCATCGGAGACTTGGCAGGCATAGGGTGGTTGACTTGGAGGGCCTATCTGGATGGCGAGTTCATATCATAATCTACAGACAGACCTACTTGCTAACGATTGAACAGCTGCGACGCTTGACCGATACGAAGTTCCATTCTTTGGCTCGCTAGCGAGCTCTATACTCGATGACGAATAGAACCACACAGAGATCTTGAGGTTTACGTCGATATGAGCTATATACAATCTGGGCAAGCATGGTGTTCATGGAGTTCATGACAGCAACGAGTTGTCAATTGACGTGGAATGTTATAGACTTTGATAATTCGATTTTTTGTTATTGGCAGCCTCGCGACTGTCATCATGGAAACACGTCACACAAGACATAGTCGGAAGGTGAATCATATACTCATGAGGTAAGCCGACAAGGACCTGAGGGCTCACGTCTCTCGCTAAGCTTGTTGCCTCGCCTCCATCAGCAACCACCATCAATGGCGGAGTACTGCATCACCATGTCTCGTACATGTTCGGGACGCCGCCTTATCAGCGCGGTCGCGAAAGTCATCAGTTGCTTCGCCGCTACGACTCAAGTATCACCACTTCCCATGATGACGGCAATAACAACTTTTACAAACACAAAGGCAGTTACTGGCTTAAGGATAAGGGGAAACTTTTAATTGAACGCCAAACGAAATTCAATGTGTTCGATCACAGAAATTCGATGCCAGAAACGGTTGCGCACGACATTTCTTGTCGATGATCAAATCCGCTGAAGGCGGATCCAATCCGGTCTTTCGACTCGATATGAACAACGACATGGTTGTCATCGCCTGCGTACCATATCCGGTTGCCGGACCTGAATTCTTGCTGACTCCGGTAGAGATTACGAGTGTAGAGTTTGCACGTTTGCATCATCCTACCGAAGACAGCATTGTGGACCGACACAATTTGTATTGCAGGCTTGGAGTATTTCCAATATACATGCAACCCGAATTCTAGTCTGAAGCAGCAATGCGGGAAGCGATCTGGAATGAGAAGACGGTATTACGGAGGAGGCCAAGGAGAGCAAATTGATAAGAGCTAAGATGAACTCAAGCTTTCTTCCAGGCTCAAGATTGTGGTTACAAACTACATGTTCCAAGGACACATTCAAAGATCTCTACTAATCAGTATCAGGGCAACGACCTTCAGGTTACCTCCGAGCTACGGCCCAATGGGTAAATGCCCCGTAGACACATTACGCTACACCCAAACCATCGGATGATTGTTTTCGTGATTCCCCCGAAACTTCGAAAGCTCAAGTAACTCCATCGTTGCAACTCGTTATTCACAAGAAATTTCTCAACATTGTTAGTCATGTGCTGTCCAAAGGCGAAGCAAGCACATCAGTACTCTTGCAAAGGGATGCATTAGAGACCAATACTTTCGTCGCAAACATTTGAATCACCAGTTCGATCTATTAGCGGAACATATGACCTGGCCGACTGATTCTACAAGCACAAAAGCCAGAGCTTGTAGCATACAAACACAGGATCATGCTGCGACTTTTCAATCATCATGAAAAACTCGACAACGACAGAAATCATGCATAGAGGAAACGAGTGAGAGTTTTGCGACCGTGATGGATGGGTGACGAATGAGACGTACATGTGGCTTGGGAGTGTACGCGAGCAAACTTGGACGCGGTGAAACTTAGTCAAGAGCGACGGGAATGATTCGGATATTATGCTAAGGTTCCTTGTCTCACCAGTCTTAAAAAAGAAAGGGACGTTTTCCGCCAAAGACACGATGAAGAACAGGAGAGTGGATTAGAATGAGCATGACAGCACGGCGATGGAGAGAGCGTGGCGTTAACTCCAACGACGAGGGAGCCCGGCCATGGCCTATATCTGTCATTGGGTGAAGGTTGTAAGCTAACGCGGCTAGTATGGTGTTCACTAAACATCAACTTTCGGCTGCAAGAGGTTTGCTAGCTCGTTTATTACGACCACTAACAACCACAAAAAAGGTCATGATCGAGCGTAAAGTCAGCACAGCACGTCTCATTGATATATTTCTCTCATCATCTGAATTTGTAACATGATGCTCATAAAAGGTAGGAAATAGTCTGGAAGACTGCGCAAAGGGCGGCATCTCTAGGTTCACTAATCACTTACGCCGCATGCTTAACCTAGGCAACGGGCATACATATCTTACCAAACAATGACTGAGAACCTTCCAGGCGGACGAATAGTCACTTTGTCCACCGAGATGCGTCCACAAACATTAGTCACTTTCTGGTCAGTTCCAGCTGTTACATCTAGATGAGAAATCATGCTCGGCCTCGGTGTTCGTATCTTCTGTGCGAGCTCGATACTTAATATATAAAGGGAAGAAAATTTGTACGGTCAAAGCCAGAAACAAGCTATTCAAACCTCCAGTCTCAATACCAGCCCCCAGATCCAACATTTACCAACTCATTCTCAAAGCAACCATGTCTTCGTCCCTCACATACCTCATTACCGGTGCTAACCGTGGCATTGGCAAAGGCTTCATCTCGACCCTCCTCCAACGTCCCAATACCACCGTCATTGCTGGAGTCCGAGACGTCGCCAAGTCGACCTCCGCACTCGAATCCCTTCCCAAAGCTTCAGGCTCCAAGCTCATCATCGTCAAGATTGACTCCTCTGACGAAGCTGACCCCAAGAATGCAGTCGCCGAACTCCAATCCAAGCATGGTATTACCTCCCTCGACATTGTGATCGCCAATGCCGGAATCGCACACTCAGGTACTACCATCATCAACACCTCATCTGACGCGCTCCGCGATCACTTTACCGTCAACACCATCGGCCCCATCCTTCTCTTCCAGGCCGTCAAGCCCCTGCTACAAGCCAGCAAGTCTGGCAACCCCATCTACCTTGGAATCTCCACTGTAATCGGCAGCATGGGTGCTCAGGCAATGCTTGCTGGATTCCCGCAAGTCTTTAGCCCATACGGTGCTAGTAAGGCGGCGTTGAACTGGGCTTTCGCTCGGATCCATTTCGAAGAGTCTTGGTTGACATCGTACGTCACCCACCCTGGCTTGGTCATGACGGATATGGGTAGCACTATCGCCGATCCCGAGGCGCTTAAGGCTGCGGGCGCTATCACCGTTGAGCAGAGTGTGAGTGGTGTCTTGAACACACTGGACAAGGCGGATAGAAACCTTTCTGGGACTTTCCAGAACTGGGATGGAACCACTCTGCCATGGTGATTGATTAGAGCAGAGAGTGTCTGATATATGAGAGCCAGATTTTCATAACAGAGAACGAGAAACAAATGAAACAAATTTCACTGCAATCGCCTTGTGAGAAATATGTTAATGCTATAGACGCGTTTTAGTACGAAGATCTCATGAAGCATGCTAGTAGTGACTGTAGACTCAAGTATATGACAGCTTTTCTTACAAAACACTACGAGCATAACCGAATCAAAGGCTCTCTTAGGAACTGTATATCCTGAGTGCCCTGGAATTGGACACGATGGCATACGCTAGGGAAATACAATCCGTGTATAAGATTGAGCAAGAGTTTGAAAGAAAAGAAGACTTGGCAGAGTTCGTCCATTGATCTCAAATCAAGTTTCAGACTGATACCATTCACTAGAGATTTCGTCGTCTTTCTTCCATACACGTCGCACGCAACTAGTGTAGAGTGAGAAGCGCCCGCAATCATCTGGATCTCGAAGAGTGCTGCGGAAGATGATGGGCAGATCTGCTTAGGAAACAGGACGAGTAAGATGTCACCTTTGGAGCTAACAAAGACCGCCATTTTTTCCTCACGCGAAAGCTCAATACAGGAGAGAACAGCGTGCTGATTACATCGGGTGGGCTCAGAGTCGGAAGTTTCATCCAATTCAGAACAGTGTGTCCATAAAGGCGGAGCTCCTCGTATGACAGGCAGTGTCATATAGGCGAAAGGTTCCGAGGTTAGATCCAGGCTTTGGGTACCGACATCATAGAAATCGGGTCGATGGAGGCCTAATGTCCACACAACGATTTTAATTGCACACAAGCAGAATGATTGGTTGCAGCACTCCATTATCTTCCTCGTGAGCATCGTCTCTGAGCTGTTATAGTCAACCTGGAGGTCGGAACCCTCGCCACATAGAGCGAGCAGGGAATAAATGCAGTCTCGACGTTCGTGTGATTCCTTGGCCGCAAACCAATTGATCAAGTAGATGAGACTTCGACCCTTCAACCCAGTTCTTCCTCTGGTTTGAAGTTTTTGAGTCGGCGGCATGCCGTCAAAATACGATAAAGGTAATAGTTCAAAGGTCATCTCCGCAAGCCCGGCACATAAAGTAACCTGACATGCAAGCGCCACTTCCTGTGTAATCCAGGCCCGCCTCCAGTACTCAGATTGATGGAATTCGAGTCGTTGACGATATTCGATGGTTCCGCGATGATGGTCTAGATCAACATTTGATCCTTGGATGTACGCTTGCTCAACCCTGTCTAGATGTGCAGCAATCTCAGAATTATTTCCAAGCCACGACAGCGCCTCCTTAGCTCGAGAAAAGATCTTTCCCATTTGTTGCACTTGATGATTGCGCTCCTCAACATTGGTCTGATCAATTGACAGCGCATCGACCCACAACCAGTTTTCTAACAGCCTTCGTTTCCGTCTCGCTGTGACTAGAAAACCATAGAGGTTGCTCCGAATGCGGAAGGGTTGTTTGTCAAGGATTATAGTATGTCCTCTTCCCTCCTCACCCCATACATATGAGAGACAGATATAGGACGCCTCGATGGTTGCATGGCGAACCTCACACTGAATGTAGCCTTCGGGTGATATCGCTTCAAGGACACGGATCAATCGAAGCGAAGCTTTAAGGTGATCGAGGGGAGCATGTGTGAATGGTTTTAGTTCGTGTCTCGGCGGCGGTAGGGCAACAAAGCCACGTTGTTTATCGTTTGCCATGATCGGGCGCTCCGTCGCGTAGATGGAAAGATATTACCAGCGGACATATGATGGAAACTTACGAAGTGTGAGCTGCGAATAATTATGGGGGATGAGAGCCCGTCCACACATGACGTTTATGCTCTTAGTGGGGCAGTGCAAGGCTGAATCGTCACGTACAGGAATCTCACGCTCAAGGGTTCGGGCATCTGCTGCAGTGGTAGGAGCATCTATGGCTATATCCCGGCACTTGATTGTGACATAAGTAGAACTCAACAAAGCTTTGCGTACGTTGATATATACATGACTGGTCTGGCTAGGTTCAGCGTCATCTCCAGGAAATTCTTCTGCAGTACATGCGGGTGATTAGAGTTGATCGATTTTGAGCAGCAGTGAAAGTGTTGGGTGTGGTATGAGTAGTAGCTGAATAACGTCAGGACAGGAAGGTGTGTGATGCTCAAAGACTACTACAGGAGCCAGATCGCACCCCAACAGCCACATTCTACCTAGCGCCGTTTACCAATCGCGCTACTATCGCGTGTCGTCATCGCCTTTGCGCTCAAAGACTACCAACGAACGCGAACATCGAATTTCTTGTATTGCATGTCTCCAGCAAACTCACTTCATCCTTTTATCGAAGGCCACATACGTGAACGACTGGGGTTTCAAGACTGTATTCCGCCGCAACGCGTGCTTAGCTTCGATCGTGTTCTCTCTGATGAGCTATAGTACAGCGATGAAAAGCCTTACGAGATCACCCGAAGGCTATGGCCTTAGACCTGGCAGCGATGTGGTCATGGCTCAAAGAGCTGGGTTCGGGAGACTTTGAATTGCAGTATGTCTCAATCTCGCTCTGGTCTTCTACAGGGTGCTCAAGTCTACTCACGAAACCCTGGAGTCATCATGTTTGTTTTGTTGTCTTTTCCCCCTGCAGCCTGACGAAGATACCTTGAAATCGTATTCCCTAGCAGTGTCATACGTTACGAATCACGCCCTTGACGCTCGAAGTTAATATTGTCACACATATCGTTTGCTTTCTGTTCTCGATACTTGATCGTTAGTTGAGCGGCATCTGCTGCGTGACTGAAGTCATAGTGAATGCGTATCTACTCTCAGGCGCTATTGACATGAATGGCTGGACTTACATCTATAATTCCTCCAATCTTTAACATAGTTCCTGTTGGTTTGTGCGCAGCACATGTCTATCACAGCGTTCTGTCGAACATGTCTTTAGTTTAGTCCCTTCGCTATCACCTGTGTGATAGTGCTTTCGGCAGTTTTAATCTCACCTTCACCGCGGATCATCACAAACAAATATCGCTTAGCTTTTTCTTGGACTCAAAGGTAGGTCTTCGTCCAGCTACGTCCAACTCTTCAAACCCAATAACATACCACACCAGTGCGACACACCATACCCACGTTCACGCGCCGTCCAGATCGCTGAGAATGGGGCTCGCGCCTCTGCTCGTCGATACGTACCGCAAGTACAAAAAAGGCACGAACAACTTCGTCCAGTGGCTAGCGGAGACAGCCCGCGCAACTGGTACTGTCGATGATGTGTTCAAAGACAGTCGCCAAGACTTGATACCGCCTACAGGAGGCAGACTGAAGGGAGCGGCTAGGAAAGAGGCAAAGAAAGCCGCACTGACGCAAAATGCTACCGCCACATGTCAGATCACGACCAAGTCGTTCCTCACTCTTGCGGCTGCTATTGCCGCCGACAAGCGCACGTGTGTTTCACCTGAGGTCTTCACAACCTTGCGTGCAGTCATTCGGGGTCGCAAAGATTGTGCAGTTTGGTACTCCATGATATCTGATCAAGCAGACGACGCTGCCAAGGAGAGCAATGAGGGCCACAAACACTTCATTAAGCTTTTGGAGGACGTCCTGGAGATCATCAAGCCGAAACTACCGCAGACTCAACGCCAGCCACTCAAGACTGCTAAGACTGCACCACTACACACCAACAACGCGTTCGAGCACTTGAAGTTCGAGGAGCCTTTAGACACGGAAGATATACCAGAAGCCATCGAGAGTCCAGTCAGGCCCGCCACACAGAAGGTTTCTTACAAGCTCGAACCGTCTGATACCGACGTTTCCTTCGCCATATACTGCTTTCTCAAGGACGCTACACACCTCAGACTTGCTGTTAGGCGAACTTGGCGTGAGTTCGCGAAGGGCGACATAGGGCTCCAAGCCGCTGCGTTGACCATGAACGCCGCCCTGGCTATGATCGAGAAGTTGAGCAACGAATTCGAACAAGCCCATCCACGCTTCAAGGACTCTGGGTCGCAGAAAATGCACTTGGAGATCATTAAATTCATATATAGCAGCTACAGCGAGAGTGGGAAAGGTTCAGCTTTCATCGATGGAGGCGATGAGGATAGCGACCCTTTTGCCTACAAAGAAGGAAAGCAGATACTACGTTCCGACACTGTGATGTGTACGCATACCACCGAATTGGTTATTGGGATCTTCTGGCTTGAAAAGACAAAAGAAAAGTGTCGACTTACCAACGACGAGAGGAAATTCCTCAAGTGCATTTCACAGTTTGTATCGACGCCAGATGAAGAGCCGATGCCTGATAGCTATATGGTGCGTAAAGCTGCGAATAACATGCTGTACGACCGAAACCTGAATACTTGGATCGTATTCTCGTTACAAATATTTTGGGACATGCAGAGAGAGTTAGGGTCATGTCTGCATCTTGGCAAGATGCTCTTTGATAAGACCGGGCAGCAGCTTATCGAACGCTATAAAGCGTACCTCGATGTTGAAGGCCTTGAGAAAATTGGCGCTACGCATGCCACATTTCGCGAAGACATTGTCAGACGCAAGGAATTCATTGAAATCTTGCTCAATAATACATTGGTTCAGGAGGAGTTCGATCAGTGCGAAAAGCAAACAAGTCGACCATTCGATAACATCCCTGGTTTCTCATTACTCAATCACGATCCTGGGCTATGCGGCTTAATCTCTGCGAACATGCGCGATGATTATCATAGGACAGCCATCGACATGGCATCCAATCAAGGACAGATTATTGTCTCAGCTCACCTCTACAATGCTGTCCAGCTATCCGGGAATCTACCAGAAGGCTGGCAGTGGACCGACATGGATTGGCTCATTGAGCGGCAAGGTAGCGATTGGATGTTCATGGGCAAGCGACCGAAGCGAGGTTCCAATTTTGGAAAGCATGTGAACCTCATATTGGGCTTCTCTGCTCATAAGTTCACTGCGGATTACAAGTCCCGCAATTCAGAAGCAGAGACAGAGTGCAACATCGGCGGGGTCCGTCGCCTCGAGTATCATGCACGGCGCTGCGAGTTAGGTACAGACAGGGAGCCACGACGCAAGAAGCCTGTGGGGATGAGCAAGGCGAAGAATGATATTCTTGTCATGGTAGAGTGCCTAGTCAACGACTTTCAAGGCAAACATGATGATACACGCAAACCGCTATCCTCCTTCGAAAAACTCAGTCTCTTCAAATTAGCGATCGAGAAAGACGAGTCTGCTTTCGCATTCGATGTTATGGATCTGAAACTTACATGTATCCGGCTACTACAAGAGATCCAGAAGTACGCTCTTACTTTCGCGCCGCTCGACCATCTCGTGTCCAGGTTTATTGGAGGGCTATCGATGAACGCTGTTATCGGAGATATGCTCTATGATCTGGGTGGGCACCCGCGACATCACACCAGCATCTTCCCAAAGGCAGCCGCCATACTTTGCAAGACCTTACAGGAGAAAGGCAACAATGTTCTCATGGATGCCATGGTATGCCAAGAAGAGATGAAGCTCAATCTCGAAGATTTCAAGGCTGAGGTTGAGCCTAGCTTCGAAAACCCATACGAAGACATCATAGATCTGGACTTCCGCGATATGGTTGGTAATATCATGCTCCATGATGAAAACAGAGGTTTTCGGATGTCTTTCGGCCGTCCAGTATGAACAAATGGAACGATCACTTCACAACCTACTTCCTGGCCTGGTCGCACCTGCATACCTGTGCCGCTCACCTATCGATAGTCTTTGGTGTTGAAAAAGGGAAGAGTGTGGTCCTCATACAAACGATGGACGCTTTGCATAGTTACTAGGCTAGCAATATAAACCTGGCTCCAGAATTATTCTTTGTCTTGGAACGTGATTGGTATAAAGCTTCTGTTCCTGACGTGGAATTACCACCCGATGATGTGCGTATATTACTCCATTCACATGTGTAGAACTTTGCATGATGAGATAAAAAACTTCACTCAGCTCGATGTCAGAAGTTTATCCCTAGATATGACCGTCTAATTAATGCTACCGTCTGAGTCTACAACATTACCATGGCCGCACCAGCCAGAACAAGAAGACTTCTGCCCAAACCCTTGCTCGTCACGGCACCAGAGTTAGTGTTCTCAGCCGCCGCGGCGCTTCCCGTAGCACTTCCAGTAGCACTTGCCGAAGTAGCCATGCTTGCCGTGGTTGATGCACCAGTACTGTTGCTAATGGCCGAAGCCCACTCTCCACCCACACCACCAGCTACATTGACCGTGGCCGATGGGCTAGCAGAACCAGAAGCGGAAGCGGTAGCAGAGCCAGAAGCAGAAGAGGACTTTGTTCCCTCTTCAGTGTCACTCTTCTTCGCATTGCTACCCTTTCCATCGGTGACAATGCTCTCAAAACCACCAGTCATATCGCCGTAGGAGTAGCTGCTTCCAGGGTTCTCGTTCCTGACCTCGACCTTCTCCAAGACCATGGTGTAAGGTGCTTTGCTGTAGTCTGTCTCGCCACCAGCCCACTCAATTGTGCCTTCGGCGTTGTTTGGGTCGCCTCCAGCCCAGATACCAATACGGACGTTCATAGGGGTTTGAGGGTAGTTGCTACCGCCATTTGCATCGGCGAACTGGAGGGTACGGACGACTTTGTCGTCGACGAGCCATGATGTAGAGTCAGAGGTCCAGTGGATGGTGTAGTTGTGGGTTGTGCCTTGTGTGTCAGTGACAGCGGCGTCGGCTTCACGGTCGTGGGTTGTTGTGTTTCCCTTTCCGAAATAGTTTGCTAGAAGGGAGATATGTTAACGTTCTCCCCTTCCGCATATGTACCCTGTACTAGGGGAGATGGAGAGAAATTGTAACTTACTCTGAACATTTGCAGGCTCTCCACCCAACCACTCCCAGTCGATCTCATCCAAATCATCACTCTCAAGAATCGCACTGCTGACCACACCCGTACCCGGCGCAGCTGTCATGATGAAGCTCACGCTGCCAAAGAAGATGTACCATTGTGATTGAATCGTTGGTGCGTCACCAGCTTTGTTGATTGTGAACTCCGCGCCCTTGCTGGTGTAAGAGATGTCACCAGCGGTAACTTTCCAGTTGTCATCGTCGGCACCCTTAGTGAAGTCGTGCGTGTATGTTGACGAGGAGAGGGCGGTATCTGCTGGGCAGGATTTCTTGGTAGGATCACATGATGTGGATGTCTGAGCGAGAGCGGGGATGGCTGTGGAGAGGATAAGGGAAAGAGGGAGTACGGAGACAGTGGGGAAATGCATTATGAGAGAGTTAAACAGTACGAAGTTGATCGACCGCTCCAAACGAATGTCCTTGGAAGTAAGAAAGAACAGAAACGACAGCAACTCAGCGATGAGACAAAAAGGAAGTCTTGGATATGAGGATAAGCATCAAAAAAGAGCCGCGTACCCACACCTTTAATCAAATCCCAGAAAGCTTGAACGAGGAGGTTATCGACGCTTCGGTAGTCACCACAGCCCCATCAAAGTGGGTCATTTATTCATTTCGATAGCCATCGGCATCCCTGATCACCATCCGCACCCGTGGATACGGCCCACGTCCAATGTCGTTCAGGAACGAGAGGGTCGCGTCTACGGCCGCGTCAGGTACCATTGTCAGGCCTGTGTTAAAGCCGCGTGGGCCGATGACGAAGCGCTCGCCCCACTAGCTGATCCCAGCCATCCCAATATGAGCTGTGGCTGTTCGTCGTGGCTAACTTTAGCTCGCGAACACGAAGACGGAAACATTGGGTTTGTACAAATATACAAACACAAGACTGACGATCATGCTTAATCGTACAACTGGATAAAATGACGCCATACATGCGCACCGTAACATTGAGATACGAAGGGCATCTGGATGTTTCCACAAGATTGTGCACCAAAATTATCCAATCTGAGTGTCGCCGCACGCGGCCGCCAGTGTTTGAACAAGATAGCCTCGTACTAGAAAAGGAGATGGGCGGACGATGTGAAAAGGTAATACGGAGACATACAGATACGAGACTCCGGTCCAATGCAGTCCACCTCATAAACTCGTAAGATGCCGTCTATGAACCATCATGCACCTGAAAGCGCAGTGTACATTGAGTCGTAGTCATAATTCTTCTAATATGTTATTCGCCCCAGTGCGACAATCAACAACTCCAACCGCTCATGGCCAGAAAAAAGAAGGCGCGAGGTACACTTCATTTGCTTATACAAAAAAGGCTAACCAGTGCAGTAAGTCTTCATGCCTTTACAACTCAGCTTCACCTGCTCATGAAGAAGGGCAAGATCTACCGCGTCTTCTTTATCTCCGTAGCCCACCCTTCAATCCCCTCCCCTTTACTACCGACAGGGATATTCAGATCCATACCCTCCATACCCTTCGTGTCCTTCAAAAAGTCATGTCCTGCCATTCCACCCGCATTTGCTCGGTCCACTGGCAACAGCTCTAACATGGGTAACAAGAAATCGGCAATCTTCTTACTCTCCTCGGCGCTGAAATGATACTTCTCGTGGAGGACGTCGGGAAGAGCCCAGTGTCGTAATCGGTGAATGTTTCGGAGTTCGCCCTTGCGGTTGAATATTTCCTGAGACCATTTTCCTGACATGCACAGACCCTTTGGGAAGGTGCCTAGGAGTTCGATGATCTGTGCGATGTGGTCATCGTCTTTGCCGTATTTTGTGCCAGACTGTGGGTCAAAGAGGTAGTCGCCAGTGATGAGTTCGAATGTCTAGTGATGTCAGCTCGTGTCTCTCGTGTTGATTAGCGCTCCTACCATTGCGGCCATACTCCAGACATCAGTACTAGCACCCCATTTACTACCCAGGATAACTTCTGGTGACCTATATTGTCTAGTCTGAATGTCATTGGTAAAGTGATGGCCGACCCAGCAGGCGTTTCCAAGATCGGCAATCTTAACTGAAATGGTTTCAAAGGCGTTTTCGACTTGCTGCTCGAGCTCTGTCTTGCCGGACGAGCTGCTGGGTTTGTCGAGGCTGATGCCTGATACTTCCTTGGTAAGAAGATCGCTGAAGGAATTAGTACGCTTCCCAATGTGGATAACTTCACAACTTACGCGGACTTCTCCCGTTGCTTCTGCGCGTCGTCTTCGGTAGACGACTTGATACCGAGCCGTTCTGCCATGGATAGGCTGGGAGTAGCGGATGGAGTTGCTAGAGCACCACTCATTACGACACCGTCTGATGAAGAAGGAGGACTCGGAATAGTCGTGGGGGAGTCTTTACCTGTACCCTCGCTCATGACCTTGTTGAGACTTTGTGGACCTCCCATGCCAGGGAAGCTAGAGATGTCGGCGTGGTTGAAGCTCGCGTTGAGTGGACTAGGGAGCGGTTGACTTCCTGTGATGAGGGTCCTCCGTCTCCGCCTGCCGTTCCTCACGCTGTCTTCGCTGTCTTTCTTCTTTGGTTCATCCTTTACGTATGTCTTTACGATCTGTTCGACGTCGCCAATCTCGATGAGAACATTCTCGGGCTTCAAATCGGTGTGAATGATGCCGCACTCGCGGTGGAGGTAGTCGAGGCCGAGCAAGACTTGCTTTGTGATCTGCTTGACCAGAGGCATGGGTATACCTCGGTGGTTCCACCTCTTGATCAGGCCCAACAAATTCTCTCCTAGCACTTCAAAAACCATGCAGACGTGAACACCGTTGGGGCCCTTGTGGTTGAAAGAATCGAGTAGGCTGACGACATGTTTCCGGCCGGGGTGTTTTTCGTTCGCGTCGACTACCTTCTTGAGGAGTTTAATCTCGTCGAGCGCGGTCTCTGTGTAATGCGCAGCGGAGCGCACGACCTTGAGGGCGACGTGCTTGCCGTTGGTGTTATCCCTCGACAGCCAGACGGTCGAAAAATGACCCCACCCAAGCTTGCGCACAATTGTGTACTTGCCGTCCTTGTACTCCTCACCCACCTGGACGGGGTGGTAGCCGCCCTTGCAGTAGTCCTCAGAGTCCTCCTCGTCGGCTGTGTTTTCGGCTTCATCGACCGACGACGACGACGAGTCGGGCGAGTGGCTTAATTGGTTTCCGTACATCTTGTGCTGGGCAAGCGGCGAGTTGGCGTTCTGCACACTGCGGGGTTGGAGTTAGTATAGGGTTGCTGCAGTCAGATCATGTCTTGGGCGGTGCATGTGTGCGCGCGCATTAAAATGAGTGGAGAAGTGGCGCAGTGTTTGGGGTGGGCGGGTGAAAGATGGGGGGCTTTGGGCGGTGGCAGCAGAGGTGTGGTGGTGGTGGTGAACGTACTTGTACTGAAAGGACCCCGTCGAACCAGCGGGCGAAGCGTTCTGGTTGCCCTGGCCCTCGGTGGTGATTATCGGCTTCAGGTCCTGGCCCTTCCGTCGCTTCTTTCCGCCGTTACTGTTCGCCGCCTGCGCGACCTGCTTCGCCTTGTTGATGGCCGCCTTCTTCATGTCGGTGCCATTCATGGTGGCTTTCCCCGCCACGCGCTGGGCTGTGGGCGGGCCTGAGGCTCGAGGGCTGCTGGGATGCGATGTACGGTTAGGCGCTGGGGACGCGTTGGGCAGCGCTCATGGACAGAGGCAGACTATGGGCTTGGATATATATTATGAGGGCAGTGTGGCTCTCTCGTCGCACTGCCTCGCGATTTCTTCAATTGCTGGAGACGGGCTTAGCGCTCCCCTCGCCAGCCTATCGATGTCTGGCTCCTGATTGGTGCTAACGTGGGGGATTGCACGGATGCGAGGTGCTGCAACGACCACGGGTGATGACTCGCTGGGCGGGATGCGGTCTGCGGTATTAATTCAGTTGGACTCGCCTCTCGGAGAATTCGCTGTGACTTGGGATGGTAATAGAGGTGGTGACGGATGGCTGGATGCGCGTCAAAGCCGGAGGAAGCGGTAAGAAGCAGGTGAGACGAATTATGACATCAGTCGACGCCTACAAATAGTCGCCTGCTACCACATTAGTCCCTCCTCAGAAGCCAGTTTTGCCCAAAAAGCCTTGCGTCTTTGCTCGTCTAGCGCACCAAGTTCCTGGCCTACATCTATCGGCCCGGGTAGCAATGAGGGAGGCTTGCTGCCAGCAATGCTTGTTGTTGCGACCCGATCCGTCACATTACACGTGGGACGTCAACATCACGCATCTTGACAGCACTTGGAGAAACCCTGGATTGCATCATCGTACCTTCGTCTTCTCCAGCCTTTGTTCTTGTTGCCAGACAGATACGCCTGTTGCGGAAAGAGCCATGCGCCTTGTTGCTCAGCCCAACCCCCAAGGCAGGAGCCACAGCAACCCCACCGCCATATCATACATGTTTGCCCAAACCGTGACCTTGAAGAAATCGCTATGCAAAACTATAAATATCCTATATCCTACATTCCACATCGGCCTCTTCCATTAGGACCTGCTAACACCTGATCTGCAAGTCATGCTGGAATCATCATCTGCATGTCTGGTTGCGGAGAGCCGCACCAGCCGCTACTTGGCCGAGACCGCTGCCATCCACTTCTGCTCGTCCTTCTTGTCGAAATGCAGGAGCATTCCCAGTACGGGGATGAGTTGTTGCTGGTACTTTTTGTCACGTTGCTCGAGGAACTGTAACAATACGTTCTTCAAGTACACGTAGTCGATTGCTTCTGCAACAGCTCCACCGCCCTTTGGTATCGGTGACGCTATGCGCGATCGTGATGACTCAATCGAGGATCTCGAGGATTGAGCAACGGACTCAGGGCCACGTGTCTTCAAAGTTCGTAGCTCGTCGGACATTGTCTGCTGTTCATCAGTATCTTGTACGTCAATTGTTGCTGAAGAACGTACCTTGCTAGACTTTTGAAGCTTCTCCAGACGGCCTTGGGTCTCGTCGAATGCCCGTCGCAAATCGCTCTTTTCTTTTTCCAACTCGTGAGCCTGCTTCTCGCTTTCATCAAGTGCGTCCCGGAGTTGGCTCATGGCGAGCCTGACCTCTGAAGCTTCTTCGCTAGCCTGTGCGGCCCGCCTCTCAAGATCTTCTGTCTGCTTGCGGAGCTCCCTTTCAGAAGTCACAAGGTCTTCTTTGTCCTCAACAGCGCGCGCTTGTGCACGTTCAGCGTCGCGGACCTTCTGCTTCAGTTCCTCAAGTTCCCGGGCTCGTCGGCGGCTGAATGTGCTGGCTTGCTCCTCTGCACGCTCGCGCTCCTCAACTGCAAGGTCGAGGCGCTCCTGCATCTCACGCACACGTGTTTCAGCTCGTCCTTGAGCGTCATTCAACAACCTTCTCATCGTCTCAGCTTCGCGTCCGCGTTCGCTTAGCAATCGATG